AGTGTGTTGATACACTCAACCTTAGTCCTGTGGTTTTATGAAAGTAAGGCACCAGTGATATTGTTTTTGTATGACCCCTGGAAAAAAAAAAACACAAAACAAAACAGGGTCTACTTCTTACTTGTTCTATCTTGGATTGGTTTTGGTCAAGATTTTTTGAATTATTGTTACCTGGCTTCACTGTCATAAGGTCAAACAGAGACGTTAAAGCTAGTGGCAAGAAGAAAGGAGGGGGTCTGGCTTTATTTGTCAACCATAGATGGTGTAATATTGAACTGTTAGCAGTTTCCCTTCAGCTATATTATGATCCAGGGAAGGTCAGTCCCATCATAACAATACTTCTATACATCCCACCCAAGGCAACGGCTGAAGTTCCATGTGAAGTTCTCTATGATACCATTGCTAGGATACAGACTTGGGTCCTCATAACTGTGCTTATTGCACATTGTTCCAGGCAAGTGTTATTTTTTCCAGTTAAACAGTCACAGCCAACATGCAGCCTTGCCTGCATTTTTTAGATCAAAGTACTAACAGACTGGACTTGGCAGTAAATTTGCATCTCAACTTTTACCAATCATGCTAAACTACTCTGCAGGTGTCCAAGACCAACATAATCCGAGAGGAAGAGGTCTCCTTTGAGCCCTTGTTATGTCATTAGAAAACCCATAGTTGACACAAGATGAACAGAAAATACCTTCAAAATAGAAAATACAGATGATTGTGTTGTACTCATGCACACACAATGACTGTGATTGAATAACATCAAGAGAAAGGACACCTAACACCACTTGTTCTTGCGTCAGTTATTCTTTGTCGCTGCCCACTGGAATGATGTGTAGCTTTAATTTTGCAGAGTCAAGGTTGCCCAGATCACGGTGGTGATAATCTCTGTCTTAGTTTACCTTGGAAGCAGTCACTGGCACCCAGATTTTAGGACACTGGCAAAGTGCATCAACTAAAGAGCAGCGCTCCAAGAGATATTTGCACATGCTTTGTGTCTCGGCTGGTCTGAGTTATTCAAGGGGTTTGTTATCTTGGGTCTCCTTCATGCATTCATTCTCACTGCCCCTCTGCTCCCACACAGAGGGCCCTACTTTTTGTAGCCCCCTGCTATCTTTGAATATACACTCTCTATCAAACACACACACTCGTGCAGGATCATGTAGATATATTTAGTGTGACATGAAGGCATAAGCAGGCAGATACAGAGGAGAAAAACGTGCACCATGCTGCATATGCACATTCATAGTGTGTTGGAGCAAGGACATACGATGAAGCTCAGGTGTCATCACAGATCTGAATGTTTTGGACTAAAGAGAAATGTTGAAGCCCATCCAGAATCCAGACAGCTGCGTCTCCCTGAATCAGACATTTTAAAATGGACTGTCCATAACAAGGACTTGACCTTTGACCCACAGCCTTTCAGCACTGCGTTTCCTCACTCGGCTCTTTCTTCAAGTCTAATGATGAAGACACATTCCTTTTTCCCCTGCTCACACTTGGATATCACTTTTGTTTTCTTGAAAACATAACAGCGCAGGGTGTGTGTATGATAAAGACGTACTGTACATGTAGTGGAGATATATGGGGTGGATGAAAGACAGAAAATAAATCTTACTTTCTGCACTCCAAGCAGAATCATAAACCCGGATTGGTTCTGCTTTTTTGCTGCAGCTCTTTTCTAGGCTACAGTGATGGAAAGTTCCTATTAATGTCATTCAGCCTGATACAGTCCTGATGTTTAAAGCCTCTGTATGAGAAATTGTTTGCCATTTTATCAACATCATATCTTTATTTTAAAATCCAGGTTTTTTTCACATATACAGGGTGTATAGGTCAAGTAAAGTACTGCTGCAGATGTTGAAATTCTTAAAAACCTTTGTGGCTTCAGAGCTGTGCTTAACGTGAGAAATCACCTCAAATGATGCCCCCATAGTTTGGTAAAGTTTGAACATGAAAAATCTGAAACTGAAAAAATAAACATTTTCATTCACTTTCCTGACATATCTATTTTTTTTCATAATAAATAAAGGCAGAGGTTTGCACTGCTACATTTTGACTCTGTAGCCTCTTTGACTCTTCAGGAACCTTCCTGGAATTTGATAAACTTGTTGTGTTGTAGATGCGAAAACATAATAATAACACTGAGTCTAAAATACTGTGACCCAGTGGTGCACTCTGAGCTGGGGTACAGGAGACTATCAGTGCCTCCTTTTAGAGCATAAAATGTAAACAAAGTGACCTCTGGTTTCACTTTCAGTTCATAGATTGTAAACAAAGTGCCTGTAATTGCTGTTTTATTGCTGTTGCTTTTTTAAAATGTAGGCAAAGTGACCCGTGGTCTCTCTTTTGGTGTAGAGAATGTAAACAAAGTGCCTTAAGGTTGTTTCTTTTGTGGATGATTCAAACAAAGAGCCCACTGGTTGTTTTGTTTGTGGATGACATGAAAACAAAGTGCCTTCTGGTTGCTTTTTTAGTGGGTTGATTGTAAACAAAGTGCCCCCTAGTTGCTTTCTTATTTGATAAAATGCAGACAAAGTGCCCTCTGGTTGCTCTCTCAGTGGAGCGAATGTAAACAAAGTGCCCCCGGTTGCTTTCTTGTGAATAAACGTTGCTCTCTGGTTGTTGTTTTTTTTGTGGGTGAATTCTAAATAGAGTGCATTGTGGTTGCTCTTTAAGTGGATAAAATGTAAGCAAAGTGCCCAGATGTTGCCCCTTTTGTGGATTAATTGTAAACAAAATACCCCCTGGGTTTCTTTTCATTGTAAAATGTAAACAAAGTGCCCTCTTGTTGCTTTCTCAGCAGATAAAATGTAAACAAGCTGTTATTTTTACCTGGTATGGTATTTGTCACAAGTTTGGTTGTTGGTTTTGGCTTGTGCCTAAAGATCAGTACTGTTCAAGTTGTTCATGGCATACAGCAGGGGCTCTGTCCGTCTGTTTGTTTGTTTGACTGACTGCCTGACTGACCGCATACATGCAGGGAAATAATTTTAGGTGGAAAACAAAGAAATAAAGTAGAACTTAATCTGTGATTTCCAAACAATCCACAAATAATGTCTCAAAAATAATTTGAGGTCAGTCCATAAACCTCAGTGCAGTTTATATTTAAATATACAAAAACAAAAAACATTGAAATTCAACAGATGAAAAGTTTAGAGAGAAAAAGACAGAAAACAGTTAATGCTTCAAAAATCCAGTGTGGGTTTCTAGTCATTTGTCAATTGGTCTGTGTCACAACAGCTGCTGTATTTCCACAACCAAACTGAGTTTAGCTCCAGAAATGTCTGAGGACAACCATGAAAATGACCTCCAAATGAGGACTTAGAGAAAAACTGATACCACAGACCAGTGGGCAAACATACCCCTTAGATGCTCAGATTAGTTATACCAGTAACTACTAGTATAACGCTCCTTTGTGCATCTCTTTCTTTTTATCTGTTCTTATTGTCTAGTTTTCCGACATCAAAAAGAAGCAGCCTCTGTTACGAAACAACTGTTCCTTTTAGATAGATACTGGAAGTTGTCTTTGAATCAAAAACAGCCTCTGCACCCTTGGGTGCTTCACACAGGAAGTGTGTTGGCTGCATGACAGCTCCAGAATGACTTTATTTCTATTTCAGCGCGCATCTAAACAGCAAGCAATGAATCTCATGCATGTTGCACAAGCCGAAAATCTAAAAAACAGAAGACACGCCTATATCTCTCTCATGGGCTGCGCACAGATCCCAGCTTAAAACCTCAGTAGAGGGATCCACTGTGGTCTGAGTTGGCTTTGTTTCAGCTATATGTATGTCAAAAACATTAATAATACAGTATGAAAGCACTTCTAGGATGCTTTTCAACGGAAAAGCTGGACCTGTGTTTCTTTTTCTGTGGGGACTTCCCTGGTTGTCAAGTTTTGAAAAACTTGCATAACTCCATATTTAAGCCTAAGGTGAACTTTCGCTGTTATGGATCAATTTAGCTGCAGGTATGCCATGTAAATTATTCAGTATCAGTGGTCTCCATCTCCCTTTGCATCCACTTTTGGAACCCTCTCACCGCGACCTCCTGCCTAACAGAAACCAGAAAGCACCACTTCAGTTCACTTGTTTGCCTGGAAGAAAGAAGACATTCACCTCACTTTAAGGAGAAGAAAAGAGGAAGACTTCCTCCGTGACCTCACTTGCACTGATGCTGTTTTTTTTTAGCAGGCTCAAAGTTAGAAATAAAACACTTGGAAGTTCACCTCCCTGATTTATTTAAGAATAAAAGGGAGTAGGGTAGTGTCTTAAGAGTAAATAAATTAAGCACACACGTTTAGCTTTCTGTGTCAACACGCAGGCAGAGAGGCAGGTCAACCACATGATCCTGCAGTCAGAGTGGCTGTAAAACGATCCTCATAGTCTAAGCACATCCTCTGTGCTGGGGTCCCTTTTCTGCCAGGCTCTCACACACACACATACAAACACACACACACACTGGTCTGTGCACACATTCCTCTCCTCTGCAGGCTCTGCGAGGGGCAGGCTCAGAGTGTACTGGAAGCTTGGATCTGCTCTTCAGAGTGAGCGTCTCTCTCACTCTCTCCAAGTCGTTAAGTCTGAGAGCGGAGGAGGAAGGGAAGGCAGAGAGACCGGGGGAGGTCTGACGACACCAGACCCAGCTTTTTCCCGGCACCTATTTTAAATGCACGGATTGATAAATGCGAGCGCACAGTCTGCATCTGGCTGTGGTCTGCTGGAGGAACATCAAGACTGAGACCCCAAGCTGTCACTTTGAGAGAGAGATGTGTGCAACTTTTCCTGCCAGGACAAGAACTTGACGGATACTTTTGGAAAGCTAGCATGTGTATCCGTCCATGGTGGGAGTAGATTTCAATGCTGGAGGTCCAGTGTAAGAATGGATGACGCATGCTCCTCATTAAAGGTGTCTGATCCAGATTTAAAGGGAAGAAGGAGCTACTGAAGACCCAGGACCTTACCAGACTTCACCTGCAACTTTCACCGAAAGCTGATATGATGCTTTGGTGCAACTTTGGCTGCCGGTTGCTGTCTTTAGCAGCACTTCTGGTGATAGTGAGCTGTGGAGGAGGGGAGCAGAGGAGGGGAGCAGATAGCAGCAGCAGCAGCAGTAGTAGCAGCACAGGTGGCGGCAGCAGTAGCAGCGGAGGAGGCAGCAGTAGCAACAATTACAGCAGCAGCAGACGCTTCCATAAGATCCAGCATGGCCAGTGCACCTACACCTTCATCCTACCTGAGGGAGAGGGAGGCAGAGGAGGCTCCTGCAGGGAGGCAAGAGGCGGAAGCCCACAGCAGCAGAACGCTAACTCCCTCCAGAGAGATGCGCCGCCACCTGAGGAGGACCTCCCCAGCCAGAAGATCCAGCAGCTGGAGCACATAATGGAGAATTACACCCAGTGGCTGCAGAAGGTAAGGAGGAGCTCAGGTGGGTGAATGCTGAATGCAGTGGAAACAAAACCGAACAATTCAAAACTCTCCTCAGTTCTGTGATGACAATTTGCAACATAAAGTGTTGAATCCCGGCCACAACATCCCTGCATGTGGATCTGTGCGCTCTTGAAGTGGTTCACGCTGTCCCATATTTGTCGGGGTATTTGTGTTTTCGCGAGTGTGTGGTCTCCCCCCGCCGAGTGTGTTTGTGGCTTTCGCGAGAGATAACTTGTTTTGGTTTCTGGATGAGGCTCTCAGAGTGTGGAAACCGCGGCAGTGTTTTGCTGTCTTCTCGCAGCCGACACGTTGTTTGTCACAATGTTTGTCAGACGGAGAGTTTATGTGCTTTAGGAGCTGAGAATTTGTTTTCCTCCGGGGTGAAGCTGTGTGACTGGTTTCACAGTGGAATATCACAGAGAGGCATAAACGTCTGTGACAGTTTGACTACAGAAGGAGCTCTTTCTATTAGGAAACACATTTTGGCTCTTCTTTAACTCACTGAAATCATCTGATAAACCCCCGATTACTGATGCTAATTTACTCTCATTCTTTGCCTCTCTCACTTTGACACATCTTTAAGAGACAGACTTATCAACTCAATGTATATTTACCCTGCTTGTGCTCTTATGTAACTGTGTAAACAATCTAAATTGAACTTTATGTCCTACATCTTTAACAGCTGTCTCATCTTTGCACGTTGAGTCTCCTCATGACACGTCTATGTCTCTGTTTTTTCCTGTGTAAACTACCATTCCACACACATGTCCAGTTGAGCCGCTCGGAGCGTTGGTCATAGAGCAGAGGTAGTTACATGTCAGTCACCCCATGTTCTCCAGTGGGCTGTCTCTTTAATGGCAGGAAGTCAGAGAGAGTCCCCCAGAGACCCTCAGAGGAGGAACAGACAGAAACAGAGAATTCTGCCTTTATTTATCCTGAGTAAAGACGTGTGAGTAGACCTTCAAAGTCCAGACTCAAATATAAGTTTGATTCCTCTGTTAAATTAAACAAATACTCTTTATTGGGTTGATATGACATAAAATAACTCCTTTTTTATTGCTGTGGAACAACCAAATTGCAATTTATTTATAGAGCCATCTATGTGTTTACTATGTTCAAATATGGTCCCACTGTAGTGTTAATGATGGCTGATATGCTTTGGTTTGCCCTCTAAGCTTTGAGACTCTGTGTCTCCACAGAGAGCCAGACTATCTCCCTGAAACGAACACATGAATTAAATAAACAAACTTCTAAATTGGGCTTTCCCGCTCCTCCACTTTCCACAATATTGAGCCTCTAAAATAAGATTAGCAGCCCTGATCTGTGAGGAATCGCTAAAGCTTTCGTTTTTTTTGTCCACAAATGAAATGCCTGTGCAGATAACACCTGATGGATATGATGGATTACAGTTAAACCAGGGGATTAATCAACCTGAGCTTCATCAATACACCCACCACTCCATTCATTAGCATCTCCTCGCGAAACAGTCTGGTCTGCTTCGCCGTGTGCCTGCTTCTCATTTCCGCTCTGAAAGTAAACGTTTCACTCCTCAGGTTGGAGGAAATGGTCATTTCTCATCAATTAAGCAGGCGTTGGTCAGAGCAAGTTACAGCGAGATGTTGATGGAGTTTGTAACTGGAGAAGTGTTTGGTGGAGGCCTCCAACCAGCTGCAGGTTCAGATACTCTATCTTAACCAAAGTGGAGTTGTGACCAGCAGTTATGAATTTTAAGAGGATTCTGCATTTTTGTATGATTTATTAATCGGTTGATTTAACATATAAAAGTGTGAAAAGTTACTCACAACTTTGCAAAGCTCACAGTCCTCCAATAATGTTTTCTGTCCAGCCAAAAGTCTAAAATCTGTCATTCTTTATCTTTTAGTTTGAAAGACAAAAAGAAGTTTCGAAATCCTAAATTTCTGCAACAACCAAACGTTTCTCCTTGAAAGATCGCTTAAATAATTCCAAATTTCCAAAAAAGTTGGCAAAGACCTCTTCTTTAGTCGATTAACTGCTTCCTCTGTCTAGCACAGTCCAAAACCGGAAAATGTTATCTGTGGTCTAAAAAGACAAAAAACATGTCTCCCCAAAATGACTGGAACGGTTCATCAATTTTCAAACTATTTGGTGATTATTTTCTGAGTCCAAAACTTGGAAATTATGTCTGCTGACAGAAAAATAAAGGAAAAATTGCAAATTATGACGTTTCCAGGACAACCATGTACCTGTCTTTCAAAAATACCTGAAACAACTCATCAATTATTAGAAATTGTCCATATTTAATATTCTTTTGATTGCTTAATCGATTAATCACAGAGCCCAACGTTTCTAACAAAGTTCCTCCGTCCTACCAAGAATGGAGGATCTTATAATTATACATCTTCTAATTTAGAATTTCTTGAGTTTCAGGAACTATTTTATTCGAACGCCCTAAAAACTGATGATTAATTCTCTTCTGACTGTTAAATGCAACACACAGAGAAGCCTTTCCAAATAAAGGAATTTTGACCTTAAATGACTGACTTTGACAAATTCCAGCTGTACTGTATATCACTGACACATCTATCAGATTAAGAGAAGTTTGTGAAATGTGTCACGGTTCAGGCCAGGTTGGACTCAGACGTCAAATCAAAATGTATGTAAGTTTACAGCCTACATTACAGAAAAGGTAAAAAACCCTGTCTCTTTTGGCGTGAGCTCATCCATACATATTTAAGAACCCGAGCCATGCAGCTTTATTGATGAGCTTCTACCTTTCACAAGTCTATAAACCCGTGAGTGTTTCTGTTCGGCCCCCAACGCGATCCATGTGTCAAGAAAGGCCAGGGGTGAAATAACACCAGCTTTATCTTCGCTCAGTGGACCTCATCCGTCTGAGATAGTACAAGTGATACTATGAAAACAGTGCGGCAGCGTTGGTGGACTGAAGGTTTGACTAATGAGACCTCTGGAATAACTTTCTCCTCAGGTTCAAAAAGGGAGACTCATGGAAACATCTGCCATCGCCGCTGATACTATCATACTTCTTTTCTGACATGTTTTGCAGTTCCTCTTTTTAGAGAGAATCCAAAAATATGACAACACAACTATTTTTAAGTCTAGGTCAATGGATGATGTTTTAAAAAGGCTTTTAGATGAAAATAAGTCATACTCAATGTGTGCCATTGAATTATAGACGACAAAAAATCAAATATGAGATCAACACGAGGAAGGAATTGGTGTGGTCATTGTAGATGGGATACTTAAACACACAGTGGTAATTCAGTGTAATTACGCAACATGGGGGGGAACATCAGGATGCAGTTAACATTTTTCATTGGACAGAAGATTAAATGTTCTAGCCAGTCTATCTATCTTAATCACACCAGCGTTTTTTTACTGCTTGTCCAAGCAAGAGCGCCCGTTCTGATGAAAGAGACGTTCTGAGCAGACTGAGACAGATAGCGGCCCTGTGGCTCGGTGCTCAGTCTGCCGTGGGGGGTGGACTGAAAGAGTGATGCAGCAAACAGCTGTTGGGGAAGCATTTAAAGTCAGATCTTTCCTTCCTTGACCGAGGGTAGAGTATATGGACCCTGATAACATTCCTGACCAGTCAAAGGTGGCGTGTGTTTGTCCAAGGATTACTACCCTGGCCTGCCTGCGAGGCGCGGAGCCTTGGACAAGCTTGGCTCTGACCTTAGAGTGAAAACACAGCCGGAAACAAGCTGCTCTGTGCATCAAATAATATTTTGATTAAACTTTTTGATGTCTAGCACCTTTACTAACAGAATTTATGGGGTAAAGAAGGGGACTAGGCTGGGAACAAGAAAACAAGTGGCAGAAAACATCAATAATGTGGGATTTTTGAGAGTGTACCTCATTTCTCAAATGTTTGTTTTGAATGCAGAGAGCATTAGCTTTGTACAGGAAAATGGTCAAAGTGGAAATGCAACCCCAATACCCACTGGCTATCATCTACTGACATTTTAGCCCTCTTCAATGTCTTTGTACATGCCAGAGCAGCAAACAATTTGCTCTGGGGTTTCACTGTTTTTCCAAAGTTTGGCCACACTGGGGGCCCTCAAAAAGTTGCCCATTACTCCCAGATACTTGACCATAACTGACTGACAGCCAATGGGTGTCATAGTTGGAGTCCCAGCCAAAATATAAATCATGTATGAATCTAATCAACGTTGACGGTCTTTATTTGCGAAAGAGCCTTGTCGACAAATGACAGGTGACACTATGACTAATGCAAACAATCCGACCAATCATAATACAGAAAGTAATGCAACACAATACACGCGTTGGCAAAAGCAGCAGTTCAAAAAGCAACTACTGCTCTATTTAACATGTCTCAAAATGTACACTAAGGTCAGATACATCATGCAGTCTTAGTTCCAATGACCCTTTCTTGCACAATATCCCATATAATTAAGTTAGAATAATTGCATCTTTCCCCTGGTCTAAAGGGACCTGAATGCGGATTGATCCCAAGTTTGGAGTCTCTCATCTTAGTTCATATTTGGTCATTTAAATGTTCAGGGAAATTAATTAATAATATAGTTCTTTTGTGTCCATTCATGTTAGTGTTGGCACCAAAAATGCATGTTGGGAAGTATTAATTTTTCTTACAATAACACTTCTTCAAATATAGGAGAGATGCCAAAGTTTCAGTTTTTCAGCGGCTTTTCAATATGCAATTAAAATGAAGTTTAATCACTCTCTCTCATCCCCAAAGTTGTATTAAATTTCTATCTAACCTCCAGTATCGAAACATGAATCCAGTCAGAGGCGCAAAAATTAAAGTTTATTTTGGCTAGCTCCAAAAGCCGAGTCATCCCCATTGACACCCATATTAGCACTGCAAAAATAAGCATATCTATAATAGCAGTTCTGATCTTTTGTAGAAGCCTTAATGATCAGGACTTAATAGTCTTAGGTACCCCAACAGTTTCCCCCATGCTTGGTCAGTATTAACGAAGAAACTAGACATTGCTTTTAATACCAGTTCTACTCTTTTGCTTTGCTTTTCCTAACCTTGGGAAATGAGGATAAGTCATTTGTGAGAAATTTTATATGAATGGGCGGCTTAGTGAAGATGAAGAAATGGTAGCGTCGAGAAGAGCGTAGATAAAGTTCTCATTGCTCAGACCAGTCTGAGAATATTCGTTCTCCTGTAATTTTTCAAGAGAAATAAAAATTTGGCGTAGGAAGAGTTCAAGCCGGCCAAATTATGTTTCTACTCTTGGGAGTGAAAGTAATAATTCGTCTCATTTCCCTCCTGGTGGAGACAGTAGAAAGTGGTGGAGAGCAGCGTTTCTTGGGAAGGATGGCGCTTGCCAAACCAAAGGGAGGAGGAAAAACTATCTGCGTTGTCTTATCCCTGTGAAATTCTCATTATTCTGCCCCTCTATGAACATGACTGTGGAGCATAAACAGTGGTTTAAAAAGGATACACCAACATGTGGGCAACAGCTTGTTTCCTTTACATGCTGGGAGTTCATACCAGAATGGGCGAATATGTTTCTCTACTTAGCGCTATCAGAGGGCCACACAGCATGCATGCAGATCCAAGAAGAAACCTATCTATTTTAGGGGTGACTGCCTCGATGAGAGTTTATTTTCGCTGATAAAGTGGGCCAAAACTAACAATCAGACGATGCAGAAAGGCTAAGAAATGCCCAGAGGGATAAAAAGCGCTTCCTTCCTGACCCCAAAACTTGTAAAAAGGAAACCGTGGAAATTGCTTAAGGACACTACAATAACAGCTTCCAGAAGAGTTGTCTTGGTAGCACTTTCACTATGACTGAAGTGGAAAGGAAACAGAGCTTTCTACTTAGCATGTCATGGGAATAAAGGAAAACATTATGGCCGTGCCACAATATTTCCACATGGATGTGAAAAAAAAGGATTCCTGCGATGTTAATGTTTCTGATTGTCAGGAAATGGGGCATTTAGTAGTTTTGTCACACTCAATATGGACAGGCTCTTTGTTTGGAGACCGCCCTTTTTCCAGAAGTCGTATTTCAACGCAACTACTGGCCCCAATTGTGCTTGAAGTTTTGACAGTAGCCAGACTGATATTGTACACCTTTGTACCTTTAAAGCTCAATAAATTTAGATGTATTTCTTGGTTATTTCACTGTGTGTCTTGAGTCTGTCTGGTTGACCTTGCTGTAGCTGTAATGAAAATATATGCTTCTTTTTCCATCACTCTTTTTGGTGAATCACTCTCTGGTGGGAACCCCATACTGGATTTATTTTGTTTTAATTACAAGTTGATTCACTTGGCTAAATGGATGCAGAATTTATGGTATTCCTTTTGAAAACATTGTAGTCAGTTTGTAGCTTGGCACCCGCTGATGCATGTGTGGAAGAAATGGAGGGCTTCCCATGATAGGTTTGTGTTTCCATGTGCCCTTGAGTATATTCAATCCCGTAATGGTGCTAATTTTTCTTCATTTGGTAGACATGGGGATTATAAATGATGGTGCTCTGCAACATGTCACTCAGACAGGAGGGTCATCCGTTAAAACATAGTAAAGTTTTTGAGGCAAGACAAACAAAACCGGCCATTTTTTATTCGCTAATGACTGGTAGCAGCGGTGGCATTTCATTTACAGTCTTGTCTCTGACTTCCTTTGAGTCTTTCAGCTCTGTATTTGGTTTCTACCGCCATGTATGTGTCTATAGCTGGCCGCTAACTCTTTATGCAAGTTTTTGGTGCAGATTAGGAGCCTATTGAAAAAGAAAAAAACACAGATGAAGATGTTGCCAAACCAAAACATTCAGGATGCTTTAACACCTGTTGCTTGTTTGCTTTGTTCTGAATCAGGTGATTAATAGGAATGATTGTGATTGTGAATAATTGCTGCATTTATCACTTTGGTCTTCCTGTCTTCACCCCACAATACCGTTAAAAAGGGCCAAAGCACACACCATGGCAGGGTTTTCATTACGTCACAACTTCCTTCTTTCACTGCGTAAGTCAACAATTTGCCATGTGTACTGGATGCTGTTTCTGTTGTGGGAAGCTAGTTCCAAGACGTTGACTATCATAAGCCAGTTAATGAGTCGTGGGTCTGTTTGGAGCTGCAGGGAGGTTGGATGCCTCACTGATATTTGATCAGACAAGAACATCTGTGAAATGTTGAAAAGCAATCAGTAAAAAGAAGAAAGCAAAAGAAGTTTAAATAACAGCAAGTCAGCACATAATCAAGAGGGCTTTTATCACTCTGCAGAACTCTGTCTCAGCCTGGATTTCACAAAAGGATGAGGGATCGCTCTGTCCTTGGCTCAACCTGTCCAAAACCAAAAACCATCCCTCCATACAACCACTGACCGGTATCCAGCTTGGATCAGACAAACTCATGCCCACTAAGTCTCCCTGAATTTGGGTAAATTGATAACCAGCTAATTTTTAAGACGAAATCACTCAGTCATGCCATTGCACCTTCGATAACATCAGGAGAAACAGGCTCTTTGACAACTGCAACTCCTTACTGGCAGGCCTCCATGCATGCACTGTCAGCCTCTGCAGATGATTCACTACACAACAGCCTGTCTGGTCTTCAACCAGCCCAAAACAGCACATGTTACTCAGCTTTTCACTTCCCTTCTCTGGCTGATGAAACTTTACCATTGTTACTTCGTCTCAGCAATCTTAGTTTGCTAGTTTTTTTCCCTCTAAATTGCTGTGTTGACACTATTTCACCCCGCCATATGACCAGTTTTGTAACCTACCCTACAACCCCAAACAGTTCAGGTGTGAAAGCACCCTAAAGTGATCATCTCCAACCCAAAGCAAACAGCTGAAAGATGTTAAAAATACTCAGAAGAACAAAAGGTTTCTACAGATGAACCTTATGACTATGTTGGTACATCATCACAGGTTTTTTTGTTACTCAAATGGGCTTATTTTGACCGTTCTTCTATAAAAATATTAGTTAAAGAAGCTTTGATACATGTAACTGTTTTCAGCTGTTCTCCAGCTCGGATACTAGCGTGGTTTCAAATATGTTATTCTACCTTGGATTTAAAAATGCCCCATTTAAAATGGCTGAAACAAGAGCTTAAGCTGTTTAAAGGAGAAACGTAAATATTACTCTGGGCAGGCAAGTAGAAGTCATTAGTAGTGAGAGTGTAAGTTATGGTCAGAAGAGTTGCCAAAAGCCCAAGGTTCATGGTTGTATCTCAGCCACTGTTAAGGCTGAGTGATTATCAGCTTAATATGAGATAGTAATGGCACACATGCAGCCAAACATTGGACATTATGGTCAATCTGAGCACACGTTCAGTGGGAAAGTCATATGTTGTTATCGCAGTCTGCAGCCAATCACAACTCTGTTTGAACAGTTGCAGAATCAGCTCTTATCGGAGTTGTATTTTTGTTTTATAATGAGTTTTGATAAACCGAACAGATGATAATATTACTCACTCGTATCTACTGCCATTTATTTTCCTGCAGATTTTAGGTTCATGCAGGCTGTGCGCTGTAAATCAAGATTTGATGGAGGTCAAGGGAACTTAATCGGCCTTAAAAAACAATTCTTTGTTCTACAATTTGGACCGCAGGACGCCGACGCTGTAAGACTTTACATTAATGTGTCAGTGAATTTTTACAACTGCTTTATTTCCATGTAAAGATAACATTGACAAAACATGCATGTCCTGTGGTGCTGATTCTGGCAGAGAGCAGTGGAGTAAAAAATCGGGATACAAGGCAAGTTTTAATGCTCTTGCTACATGCCTCATTTTATGTCCTCCTAAATTCAAAGTTGAGTTGTTTGATCCCTTCCTATCTGACAGCTTTAAATCCCAAAGTTAATTCTGTAATGTGTAAGAAATGGGGAGATAATTCCCGAAGCTTCCCCACACGCCGCCTCTGAGCCGGGGCTCTCCCCGCAGTGTCTCTTCGATTCTCCCCTACAGATGTTGTTCTTTGAGAGGATGTCTTTGTCTGTCAACGCCGGGGGAGCTTTCCAGTGATTCAGGAGGACAGAGCCGCTTCACCTTTGCTGGAGTTCAGCCCTGCAGATCGAGTGTTGCTATAGTTTTTGATCGGGGAAACAAAAAGAATCACAAAGGGATTGTTGAAAGATATGCTGAGATTCAAAATGAAAGGCCTGCAGAATCGGTTAGTTGTGGAGGATGGAAAGAAAGCAAAGGTAAAAGGAGAGAAAGAAGATGGTAAAGGCCTGGTGGGAGATACTGGATGGAAAATAAACAGTTTCTCTCCCTGGTTGCGTAGGCCAAATGGATCTTTATATGACTAATGGTTGGCTCCATTGTTTTTGTTTTGTTCTCGCAGGATGGAAGCCACTTGTTCTTAAAGCCCCCGCGCCACATCCAGGAATTACCTCACTTATTTATCTGATCTCTTTCTCATCCTTTCGTGTGGGGGTGAATCCGTTGGAAAGTATTAACTTTCAATTTAAACCCACATATCTTGCTAGTAGGCAGCCTGATTACATCCTGCCTCTGTTTTCCGTGGGTGGTTTTGGGATAATTCATCGTTTGAAGCTTCTGCTTATCCCCTAAGAGCTGTGATCACAGACACACATGCTTCAATTCACACATTATTAAGATGAAAAATAGACACCCATGCATGTACATATAGTACACCAACAAATCTGCATCAATGTTTTCAAAACAGACTCCTAATCCTGTCCAGAGCAGTGTTTGCCTGGTCTGGGATCAGAGCCAGGCTGCTCACATTCTTCATAATACCAGGGCTGGACTTGGCGCAAGGACTACGAATCTGAGGGGGAGACACAGTGAGGTGGTAAAAAAGTTAAACACTATTAAAACATAGTACAGTAAAGGTCTGACATCCCTGTCAATTCATTCACGTTGTTGACCTTTCACCACTTTTACTTGCTTTGGTGAGAACCATGAGATCTGTCACACAGGGTAGAAAAGACTTAAAAAGTCTTAAAACTTATAAAACCTCGAGAGATGAATGTTGCTGACCGCTTGCTTCTCTAGTTAAACCAACTTAAGTAAGGACCGCAGATAGCAATACAGAGAGCCACTCACTCAACCAAAATGCAAATGCAAATAATGCTCAGAACAGCACCTAACTTCATTAAAAGTACATATAGGGTCCTAGCCACAGCACTAGCCAAACATGTTTTTAGCTTTGCCTGATTTCTTTGGCAAAGAGACTAAACACAACTCACCTACTTTCTTCCAGCAGCCACTTGTTTGTAGGGAGACCTCAGACGAGTCCATCACTGACTGCAGCGGGGTGAAGCAGCTCAGGGAAGAACTTTTATGGACGTTATGAACTTATTTTTACGCCGGAATATCCCTTTAGGCCCTTAACATGTCAAAAATGCTTTTAAAATCTCATAAAATGTCTTAGATACGATTCTGAAAGATCTTTTAGATAGGTGTTTTAACATAACTTTTCAAATACCAGAAAAGTTTTTAAAGATGTCAGAGCCCAGGATAAAAATCTGACCCAGGGAGTTTAAATGTTTTTATGAATAGATGCACAAAAAGGCAATAATCAATATCTATCCTATCCTGTGTAGCATGTACGCATTCCCTTGCTGTATTTGTAATTTTTGTCAACCAAAGCTGAAAGTTCCTTACTGTAGCTTTAAAAGCTCCACTGCCTTCCCCGGCTTGTTGTTAACTTTGTCTGTCATTACTGGGCAGTAAAGGTGGAAATTTAACCGCATTTGACACTGTCACCTGTGTCCCATTATGCCACAACTTGGATTTTGCAACACGGCCATCACGAGTATGTGTTTTGTCTTCGCAGACACACTCTTTGTTTTATTGCGCACACATCAGAGAATAGCTTTCCTCAACACAGATGTCGCCACAAAGGCAGGCGGGAGAAAGTAGTGTAACAGAGGGATTTGTAACTCCAGTCTGTTCCCTGTCTTCTTCTTACAGCTTAGACACTTGAAAGCAGAGCTAAACAAAGGGCGCCGTCTCCTCCTGCTAGTGTCAGTGCGAACAATGAAAGTGAACTGAGGCACAGCAATCCGGTTTGCTTTTGCCCTTTTCTCTCCAAGTTAAATATCTGCAAGTGACAGAATTCCTGGCATTTGTGTCTCTATTATGGGTCCACCTGCCTGACAGCGTGTTTCCACTGATCACCAAGTTGTCTGGAGTCTGAAATGATTTAAAGGAGTTTCTGGAAATCCCTGCCAATGCTCCTGAAATTTATTCATTCAATGAAAAACACATTTGGTCTCTGTCAAAGTCTCCAGTTGTTATGTTTTATGTTATGGTGTTAGTCTAAGAAAGGTAGACAGTCACAGTAGTTTTTATTAGGGCCCGACCGATATGGATTTTTTGGGGCTAATGCCAATACCGATTATTAGCGGGGGAATATAATCCGATTACCGATTAATGGGACGATTTTTTAAATTTTTATGAAGTTATAAAAAAAATACATAGATATCAACAGTATACTATATACTGTAGATATACTGTAGGCTACTGCTCTTCACACCGACAGACTGACTGATCAAACTCGGACCAGAAAAGCGTTTTCAACTAACCCCCCCCCCCCCCGACAATCGTTGCCTCCGCGTCTTAACTCATGTTACTCATTTCCAGTCCGGTCTCATCTGGAGACATGCAGCTGCCTCAGTAAGAGAAGTAGCTCCATCACGTGACGTGTACTGTTGTTTATTCTACCGTTACTGGCACGGCTAACAGTGTAGCAGGGCTAATAGCTGGTGGCTAACTCTGACTAGATAAGTTGGGGAACTTTTCAAATGGCAAAGTGAAGTGAAACTGAATCTTATTCTCCGCATTTTATTTCTGAAAATATCGGCGAAAATCGTCGGGTTTTGGCCGATAACCAATGAGTCTCAAACGGGCTAAAATTGGCTGATTTAATCAACTCACCGATAAATCGGTCAGGCCCTAATTATTATTGATGGATTAATTAAGCTGAAAAAACCCCAATCACTGGAACGATAAATATACAGAACACCCCTTTAAGTTGGGTTTAGTTCCCTGGATTTAGCTTCCAATTTCTGCTCTATGTTACTGAACTTTAATTGTGTTATTTGATCATCGAGCTCTAAAGAAAACTCTTCTCATAGGTTATGGTTGGTTCTCTGCTGGAGCACATGGTGCACTATAAATGACAGAGCCAGTTACACATGACTGGTGCAGGCTGTGTTAGACTGGTGATTATGAGACAGTAGTTCAGGCAGTTGACCTTCAATATTTAATAAAACATGCCTCCAGGAAAAGAAATACAAGCCGTTTCAATGACTGGAGTAGTTTCACCATTGAAGGAGTAATCTGTGTGGCCTTGGCTACCGCGGGCCAACAAGGAGGGATATCCTCCAAGAAGTTATGGAGGCAATTCCCAAATCAGACAGGAACATTTTTATGTTGGTTGACTCCTCACTACTATAGGTGCAAACACTGGCTTCTGGGTGTGTTTGTATTGGACACTACTTTTCAAGAGCTTCGCCTTTTTCGTCAATCCTTCGCCAAAACATTAAATATTCGTGTCACAGCCTCAGGCAGGCTTGGCCTAAAATGTGCTTCTGTACCGTGACCTGACAGGACCTCACTCATAAATCTGTCATTGTCAAACAGACGCATGTACTTCTTGGTCTGGGTTTACAACCAAAGTAGAAATGGTTCTCGGTGTTTATTTAAAATGACGTGTCTGCAGCGGTTGAGACCAGTCCTCGATGAATGTGCATGGTTTTTCTACATGAGCGTGGCTGTGCAGAGATGTATCTTAGTCACAATAATGTCTATTTCTGCATATTTGTCTGTGCATCACATTGTTTGACATCCACATGAGTCTGTGTTTGGACGAAGAGACCTTGGACTTAACCGATGGCCTGCGAAGTATCAGATGTGTTTCTTTTCTGGGTGCAAATAGTCAAGAGATGAGGCTCAGACAGGAAAAAGGTTGTCACATTATCATAGTGGCTTTCAAACAGCTCTTTGACGGAGTTCTGCAGAGATGACTTATTACTGTAGGCTAAATTAGCATAACTCGAATCCCGCTTTGGTGGTGCAGAGCGTCCAGAAAATGATAAGATATCACTGACAGTTAAGTCAACCCAGACACTTCTCTGAGCAGACTTCTCCTCTTCAGCAATAAATCCAGAAGAAGAGCTGTACTTTTGCTCATGGTGTCATGACATACCTGCAAGCTGAGGCCATCACAGGAGAAATTATCTTTATAAGGTCCATGCAGAAGCAGCTCTGGAGCTTTTGACCGAACACATGACCTCAACTACTTTGCTGAGTTGTCGTAGAAGTGCAAATGTTCACATTTCCATCATACACTTAGGACACCATGAGGACTTTGTGTTCATGTTGGCTCCTCAGCTGAATTTTAAAGCTCGTTCTTATTCTTGGAAGCAGGCATTGACCAATAAAAAGACTTCACCCCACGGTCCATTTTATACTACTACTAATAGCTTTGGAGCCAACATAGCAGACGTAAGAGTAAAGGCGATCACTTTCTTGTAACACAACAGTCTTTTTCCCTACATGCCAACCACAGACACACAGGACTTCAGCGTGACAGTGAAAGACAGTTTGGATCTGGTGGAGACGACTTTGATCTGAAGTATGACTGTTGTCGCGGTGGAAATTCCTGTTCAATGTGAAAATCTGTTTTGCTTTCTTGTCTGAACATAATAATACCAGTTTAGCCGAACTGGCTTTGATTATTTGATCCATCCCTTGACTTTGACGGTGTTTATACACAGATCTGTCGCACTTCAGCCTCAGTGATGCAAAAATAAACAGAAACCTGGGTACATGAAAGGCCAGAGATAGTACGTACAGTGCGGTTTGTGTGCTCAATGTTTGTGTGAATGACTCCCTTCCCTCCTTGTGTTTTATTTACATTGGTGGCTAAAGTACACTTATTTTTTCCTTGAGTAAAAGTGAAAATATTCTGGAGAAAAAGACACAATCAAAGGAAATGATCCAACATATAATCCTTCAATTAAAGATGATTTAGAGTGACAAATTAAGTTGCAACTAACCAAATTCCAAAAATATGAATACACTCTGAGTGTGACTAACATTGGCAGAGCTAGCACCACCTGATTTCAGCCTTCCTTGCAGGTTTTTGTCCACATGTGCTGGTTTAACTATAAATCTACAGTGACTACAATGATAGGGGAGTTCAGCTAGGATGATCTTACGTCCTTTTTTACCCAGACATGTCCTCTTTTTGTGGGACTGTCTGACCTGTGCAGCTTTGTCCGCGGAAGTTTAAAAAATCCTCCAAATGTCTGGAGTTTTGTATGGAGGTTTAAAGTTTGTGTTGCGTGGACTTACTGAGTTAGAAGCACGTAAAAAACACTATCCAACCCAAAAGACTCTCAAAATTTACTCCATTCAGAAGCTTTAGCCTGGCTTGCTTCTTCTATTCCAACTTTTCTTGCTATAAGTAAGCCTAGCTGGTCTTGGACATCACATTAGAGATCCTAATACAGTCTATTATGGGAGTCCCTCTGCTCCATCATGCCGTAGGTTCCTCTGGATTGTTTTTCCCTGTACTATTACTCGCTAAATGCTGCAAAGTTCTCCACTCGTGCTTGAAGATTGGATAGGTGTGGGTCTGATCCTACAAATGGGGATCAGTCTTATCCTATCTTTAGACCAGCTTTTTGTGAAGCACCTTGGGATGACATTTGATGTGAATTGGATTTACATGCTCCAAAAACTGGATGTACCAATGGATCTCGAGTAAGCGTCTCAGTGCAAGAAATATGAAACAACCCTCCAGAAATGAATGCCAGTTAAATTGCATTGCGTGTTGCACAAAATTAGTGTTGCACAGCTCACAAATTCTGCAATCGTCTTGGAAAAGCCCTTATTATGGTTCACCAGATCATTAAAGTAAATATGCATGCACATTAAAAGCAATAGATTCAATTGTTTCAGCACAAAAGTCACATCATTATAGATGCACATAATTACAAAAGCCATTTTTTCCCTTTTGCTTTCTACGGCTTAAACTTCGATTTCTCCATATTGAGATGTCATATGAGCACCCGGTCTTTCTGCTCATCTTTGTTGTTTGGTGTCCGTTAGGCGTCCCTCAGGGAGATTTAGGCACACATACATTTGCACACGTACTGTAAAAAACTGCTTTAATATATCAGCTCACTTAAAAGCACCTCACACAGCCAACCGATTTGATTTATAGCTCAGTTCATGTTCGCCACTCTTAAAAGCAACAGTGGGAGAGGAGAAAAAGTAACATAATCCGTGCCCGATGTGATAGCGTCAGTCTGTCTTTGGTGATAGAAGCGAAGCAAAGCTGAGATTGTAGGGGAAAAAAGGGGGGAAAGGAAAAACACAAGGAGATAGAGAGATACGAAGAGCGGCAAGTGAGAACAAACTTAAAGCCGTGTGGTGATAGTAACCCAGGACGACTACAGAGATGGTTTATAAACTCTGGAGCCCTCGCTTAATGGGATGTTAGGCTGGAAGATAAACACCGATGTGACGTTGAAGGAAACAGCCTCTGTCATTAAAGACCCATTCATTTTGATTAGAAGAGACACCCAGCTTGAGAGATAGCGATGCTGGCACACGAACTGCAACACTGGAATGTTTTTTCCCTTCCTATAGATTTAACATACTACAGTCATGGCTGAGCCTGAAACAACAAATGTCCTGTTGCATCTATTTCTGCTGCTCTCTGGCAAAGGAATCCCTCGCTGTGGTGTTTGGAGGGCACACTGGACTGCTATCTCAAATATTTGGATGTAAACACCTCCTCTGTGAGTTTGTGGGATCCCTTTGTACTTCAAAAGAAGGGGCAAACTTACACTGCCACTAGCATTGCTGCAAAATAGCCATCAACAGGGACAGTCCTGCCTCATGTTGAATGTCCTTACAACTCCAGACTGCCCCTCAGCTGGTACTCACTATTTGAGACCCCTTAGCAGGTCCTTGTTTGTTTGGTTGTTTGGTTTCCGTCACGGGTTCCCATGTCATGGATGAATGCAAGCACTTCCTCTCCCATACGGTCAGATACGCATAATTAATTGGTAATTTTCAGGCTCGTTTTGATATTAGAAAGCCGGTTTGTAATTGGAGGATTTTTGGAAATCCACATTTACATCTAAATTGTAATCTCCCATGTTTATTTTCATTTTACATGGAAGGAAACTGCTGGAAATTGTGATTGTTGTGTTTACTTCTGGTATTTGTCAGACATGAAAGAAACTTGGTGGGTCTGGGACGGGTTCAAATGGGTTCTTGAATACGTAACCAGTGGGGTCCATTATGGTGAATATTAAGAGCTCCATGATTAATTCAAACAAAAGTGGTTTCAGCTTTTGTCAACCTTGCAGAAATGTCTGAAACTGTAAAAATACAGCTGACCCTCTTCATCGAAGCTCTAACATTTCAATAGTTGTTCCACTCAAAGAAAACTTTCAAGTTTGTCTCGGGGAAAAAACATAAATGTACTGAAACTAACGTTAGCTATGGTACTATATGACAAAAACACACAAGTGTATGTCAAAGTTTTAAGAGACAGCACAAACAGAGCTTGCTTTTACACATATTATTAGATTTGTAAAATTAGCGTGTTTGTGGCTGCCAAAGGGGAAAGCTTTAGCAAAGGATTTGTAGCGCAGTCACTCTAGCTGATGCTACATAAGAGACATGAATGCCACTCTTTGTATATGTTTAATAACTTTGACTTTTTTTTCTTCCTTCATGTGTTTTTCTGTGGAGATGAAACCTCCACATGCAGTCAGTCACGTAAAGTTACATGTGATACGACTTGGATACGGTCCTGTCTAGACCTACTCTGAAAATTAATTTCCGGAATGAATTTTGATCGTAAAAACAAGCAAGTACCCGCACCACCATACCAGTATCTCTAAAAGAAAAGCAAACGTTTCTGTTGGATCTGCTCTCGGCAGCTCCGCAGAGGTCTATCACCCTCTTGTGATGCAAAGAAAGTTCAGTATTTTAATAACAAACATCACTTTCAAACCTCTTCTGACATTACAGATGAATTCCTTTTAATCTCACATGGCGCAAACATACAGAAAACTTTCTCTGATTCATCTTTCTGCTTGTTGTTAATCACTGGCGGTATTTCCTGTAGACATAACACTGTCAAACTCTTGATTTAGAAGTTCTCTGAAGTTAGAGCTAAAATCGTCGGATTGAATGTTATGAAATGTTATCACTTCTCCCCCCTTTTCAATTCTCAGGGTTGATTATTTGACCTCATCTTAGGAATAACACACTTAAAACCTCCGATTTGACTTAACTTTAGCCGCATTTCTGTCAATTTGTGTTTCAAAATCCTGATTTAGCACTGCATTCTTCAAGATCTACTCACACTTCTTCGGAACCGAGGCTTGTTATTCCACTGTGGTCAACTATTGTTGTTCTCTGTGTCGATTGGCTGCTAACAAAGCTCATTAGTCATGTGAACATTTAACACGTCAGTGTTTTATCATCTTGCTTTCCAATATGTTTCACAATTTGTGGTTATTTCAATACTTAACACTTCATATAAATTCCAAGTCTGCACCTCCACATGCATTTAAGCAGGTTAGAAGACGTGAATCCACCAACAGACCAACCTTAATCTCAACTATTGGTCAGTTATTCTCATCCTGTCTCTCTTGTTGATGATCTAGTGTGGGAAAAAAACTTTTCAAGTCTGGGAAAAAGTTGGTCTCAGAGCCAATTTTGGACAATTTTGGACATCTCCAAGTTCGCCCAATGATTTGCCCAGTGATTTATTCAGAAGAACATTTGGTTTGTTTCAAGTTGCATACAGATGTCTCATTATGTCCTTGGAAATGCACCATCCAAGGCTGTAGACCTAAATATATCAGCGTCTGGACAGAGAAAAGATTAAGAAAACAAGAAAGAACAAAGGAGAGCAAAAGAGGAGCATTAGAGTGATGTGTCCTGGCAGTAGCTTTTTAACTACTCAAAATAATTTCTATTTGTTAAAATAAGCTTTTTATTAGTCCAAGCACATTCAGTTTTCCACATGTCTCATCTGCTTTAGTATTACCATTTTTTTCTCTGATATTCCTTCTGAATTTTTTTCGTATTTCAAGTGTCTGATTCAGTTTGTCAAAGTAATGAAACGTCATAATCCTTGTCAAGGCACCTCAAGTCTTTTTACGGACTTCTACTTAAGCTGCATATATCTTTTATCAGTTCCTCGTCTGTGCTTTTATATTTAATTAACTTTAAGCGCATCTTTGCAAATGTTGTAGTCCTGTAACCAAGTGGCAACCTCCAGTCATAAAGGGATATTCCGGCGTAAATTAAGTTAGAGTCAAACACACCGTAACACCGAGTTAGACTCCCTGTCGAGAGATGAATGTTGCCGACTGTTTGCATCACTAGTTATACCAACTTTAGTAACGACCACAGATAGCAATACCGAGAGCCACACACTCAACCAAAACGCCACTCTATAGCCGCAAATAATGCTCAGAACAGCACCCAACTTCATCAACAGTACATATAGGGTCCCAATCATAGTACTAGCCATCAAACATCTTTTTAGCTTAGCCTGATTTCTTGTTTCACACAACTCACCCTCTCTCTATCAGCAGCCGCTTGTTTGTAGGGAGACCTCCGGGCGAGGGGGTGACACAGCTCAAGGAAGAACATTTATGATCATTTCTTCATGGAAATGCAATCAGACCGAAATGCTAAGGCAGAAGAACTACCGCGTCTGCAGTGCAAAATGATTAATATGATGATAATTACTTCAAGAAAAGGTTAAAGAAATGCTCATAAATGTTCTTCCTTGAGCTGCGTCACCCCGCTGCTGTCGATGGACTTGCCCAGAGGTCTCTGTATATTATATCAAAGTGCTTAAAACTGCAGTACCTTGAGTGCCCACTTGAGGCCCCACTAAAAAAGCCAATCTTTGGGCCAAAAAAAAGAAAAAAAAATGTATAAAGCCTGGTTCAAAAATCTATTTCAGTCCGATTGGCTAAGGGCTCTCATGGCACACACTGTACGGGGATAATGTACGGCTTCATAGCTCCACCTGACAAACAAAATAAGTGACATCACTGATGCTAAGTTCATTTATTATGCGGTCGTCACTTTTAAGGTGTAGCTGGATAAAGTTTGGGTTTGACCACAAAGCTACAAAAGGAGAGACCCTTGTCCGTTAGCTTGAACTATGACGGAAATCCCAGTTTATATACAGGGGATTAGTGGACGTGTCAGTTAGCTTTTTACAAAACCCGGAACCCCCCTGAGTTTGAGTTTATCCATTTTATTCTGTAATTTAGTAAGTTATTGTTGGAGGAACACTTTGACTTGGTAAAACGATTGTTGTGTGTAGTGAGTTCAGGGTAGACAACTTCAAAAAAAGCAGCTTATGTTTGCCCAGATGACCACACTGATTGATCTCCTTTCTCCTTTTACTCTGGACTGACTCGGTACAGCTGATTGACGGCTGTAAAATTGCTCTTCAGGGGAATTGATATGTGGAAACCTCGTTCGATTGTCGAGTTGAGCCGAATGTTTTGTCTTCTTTTCGTTTTTAATGTTTTCATCCGTCTGTTGGCCACTTCCTCTCTGTTTTGACATTTCAAGAAAGGGAAAAAATGTGGCAGCGTTTGAGTTAACGCCTGGATGTTGGCCACTGGGGTTAATGTCACGGAGGTCAACTGCGAGCTCAGCTTGAGTTGTTACTCACCTAATCTTGACAGAGTTTAGGACAGTCTTAAAACTGTTTTAAGGTGGACTGAAAAACAAACAACCCATTAACTGAGTGAGACAGCTTTCTAAAACATGTGAGAAGGTTTCTCATTTCTTCAAAACACCACACTGGAAAGTCTGGGTAACATGTCAAGTCCTAGAGCTTGAGAAGACTGAATTATAGGCTCAGGTTACAAAGGAGGATGTCACATTCACCTTTCATTGTTGGTGGGCGATAAGAAGGTGCAAGTATATTAGCTGGTGGCGTCTCAAAGCTTTTTATACACCAGGAGGTGCTGATTTGGGGGGGATGGGTCACTGTGGGTAACAGACTCTCATGCTCTAGTCCATTAAAGTGGACAGGAATGGATTCAGGCCTGAGCGTAAAGGATGCATCCCAGAAGCCAGACCGCCTCGGTAATACCAAAGAGATAAGCGGAGACGAGACAGAGCTCTGACAGTAAGTGTTTTAGACAGTCCAGACCCTCCATTTTCTGACTCTACTGTCTTTCTCAGGGCTACCAGTGCTGCTGTTTGGAAAAGATCAAGACCCCCTTTTGGACCGGCTAAAAGGGAAATGTCAGAAAAGTGGTAAACAGTTTCTGTAATCTGTAACAACGATAGCAGGGAGTAGCGTTTTGAAGGATGATCCTGTTTCTGGCTCTCAAGTTGCGGCAATTTAGCAACTCCAGGATGATAATGAACAGGATCAGTCTCAGATGCTGATGGGTTTGGTGCCTTTTTCGTCAATGATGCTTTCCATGCATACTTGCACATGCAGAGGTTCATTCAGTAACCTAAACACTTGTCCTTCTGCACGATTAGACTGTCTTTGTTTTTAAAACCTGCATCCTGCTTCACCAGTCTGTTGGAAAGCTTGTCTTTGGTGATTATTGGTCCATTTTACCCCCATAAACTGTTAAAGAGGACTAGTCTGTAATTGTAGTATCCTCCACCACGTGTCTGCGCATGCATGGGCATTTAAGGTGAAGAAGGAGGCATCATTAGTAAAATCACAGGAAGTCCACATACTGTGTTGAGTGAGACCACCTTTTAAACCTTTATGTCTCTGTGTAAAATGACACTTGGGGCGACATAAATGTGTGTTTATGTGAACAAACAGTGATTTTGTACAAACCAAAGGCAGGATTTAAGGGTTTCTAAAAGCAGAGGCAGGTATTACTGCTCCTGCTGGAATGTGTGTCGAAAAGATTTGACACTATGTTGATGACTAAGGTGTTTTGGTTAGACTCGAACAGGAGGGCTAAAGCACAGGTTTTATAGTTAAATCTCTAAATCTGATTTAGAAGCAATAAAACTCGACATTCCTACCTTTAGTACACATATGGCTTCTACAGCTATGTGACTTTAATTGGTCTTTCTCTGACTGCAGCTTATAGTGGCTTAAATTAGAAAACTAAGGGTGAATTTTGTCGTTTAACTGACACTTCTGGCACACTGACTTCTTTTCTCTTGTTTGACCTTGTTTTTGGCATCATGTCAGAATTTTATTGCAGCCAAAGGTGCTTCAAAACTTACACTTGTCTCACTTGAAATTATGGTTCACAGGTGTGGCTCCTCCAAGTCCAAACCATGTTTTGATTTTACGATAAATTACATATATTTTATGATATCCCTAATGCTGTTGTAAAGGGTGACCTCCATTTTTCTTCGTTTAACCCCAAGTTGGTGGGCTCCATGTCGAAGCTTACCATAAACCCTTTAAGCTGCTTTTACGGCTCTGAAACCTGCTTCTCGTCAATTTCCCGTTTGTGAGAAAATTTTACAAGTGTCAGACCAAAATACCACCAGACTTTCGCTCACATCTGTCATTTCATTAGCGCTTGAATTCCGCTTGATGAAATTCTGTGGGAATGGGCCTCATAAAATGACTCCTTCAGTTTCAGATTTACTACAAATGGTAAATACATAACACCAAAGTTCAGTTCCTGGTGTTATATCCTTAAGTTTTAGAGTGAAATCAAGCCGTCTTTGCATTCTCCTTATGCACTCATGCACGCACTTGTTCCAGCATCCCAGAACCAGCTGAGTCAAATTTGCATTTCAGTTCTGGCAACAAAGCCCAGTATTTGTGTCCGTTGCTGACAATAGTAATTGTTGAGTATCTGTTGGTAGTCACCACCTGGAAGGCGTTGTATTTAAACGGAGTCGAGGTTAGAAACCATCCAAATAACCAGACACCCACACAGACCCATTTTACTGCTTCTCCAGTGGTGATTTTTACATGATTGGGCGTGTTTGTGTAATCTTGTTTCTCCTTGGTACTTTCCGTTTATGACCACCACCAGGTCCAGCCATGAGTCAGCCACATTCCCTCAGAGACCAACCATGGAGTGATTACTGGGTGTAGGTTTCTGTCAGCCGCCTGTCCCCTTGATACCTTTACTCTCAAGGTGACTTAATCTGCCCTCAAATAGCGGACAGAGTAATTACAGTAAAGGATTTAACGGCAGTGCAAAGTTAGGGTTTGTTTGATGTTCAAAGCGGTGAAATTTGAAGCCTGCAACCTACACCTCAAAGGATGTAAAAAACACCCCACACCATGCAGAGATTGCAGAGAGTTTACATCTCTAGATGGACTGAAACACATTCATATTCTATGGCTCATTATCAGGCAGAGTAATCCATCATTACCCGAGCTCTTTGGACTCCAGACTTACTGTTTTCTTTCCAATTCCACGGGCCAGACCATTGGAGGTTGTGTGGAAAGTGACACTTATATCAGCTTTATATAGTTCATAGTCAGGGGAAGCTGTATTATGCCTGAATTCTGGCCCGAAAAAATGATACATTTCACTTTAATACTTTTGCCAAGAAAGGATATTGCAATGAAAAACTAATTCAACTTGGCAGATGTGAGCAAACGGCTGAAAATTGTATTTTTTTTTCTTTCTGTTGCAAAGACATTCATCTATGTTATGACTGTTTTATTAGCTATCAGGCTAGGATGGATTGAAATGCTGAGATGAACCTTTCTTTCACCAAAAACATTGCTTTCCCTGAACAGTTACTTAATGCCATAATAGAAATATCCATCGTGAACATTATCAACATGGTGCCATCTAGTACAGAAAGGATGACTTTTCTATTTTTTGCCACTTTGTTCATCTCTAAACAAATTTTGAAAACAAAACTTTAAATTTGTAGGCATATATTTTACTGAGATTCTAGGTTTTAAATTGTAATGTAAAGTATGATAGCAGAAACAAAAATTGCACTGTAAGATAAAAGAGAGGGGGATTTTACTTGCCATACATCAATCTACAGTTTCAATCTACAATCTGACTTAGAGGGTAACACTTGACTTGATCTCTATAACGTATTATAAATATATGTATATTGCATTATAATCACATAATAGCACTGTATAACTATAGTTATAAACACTTATAAATGATCATAATGCTTTATATCAATAATCATAACACATTATAAAGCATTTTATCATAACTTACAAAGTCAGGTATTGTAATGTGTTATAACTATTAACAACTGACAATGCCCACATAGATAATGCAATGCAACTGTTGTTAATAGTTATAACACATTATGATGCCTGACCTTGTAAGTCATGATATAACGTGGTTATAATGCATTATAAATATATTTATAATGTGTTATAGAGATAGGTGTCAAATAAAGTGTTACCAAAAAAAAATAAAAAAAAGTCAGCCCCTAATATGTAAAAGTATGTTTGAGCTTTTTAATAATGATGTTAATGGGGCTTTCTGAGCTTTTGGAGGTAGCCTCAAGTGGACGCTCAAGGTACTGCAGTTTTTGTGCACTATAATGTTGGTGTTATTTTTCACAACACCAGAAATTGCCACATTTTTTGAAGTTGCTAAATGGACTGAAAACAAAGAAATTAATGACTGGAAGTTCACCTTCGTGAGACAGTTGGTCACAGCCATGGTGCACAACAGTCGTCAAGTGGTCATGATTACTTATAATGGAAGGGGGAGGAAAAAACAGTAAATGTAAATTGTGGGTATTTTAACATGCATTAGTCAAGATTTAGTCGTATTCGAGAAATTTTAAAGAATCTCATACTTTGGCATCCTTTTGCTGGTTTGCATATTTATCCCATATTCTTGTCTTATGACAGAAATAAATAACTTTCCCTGATGTTGTTAAATTTGTTCTGTGACAATGCCTTTTGTTTTTGAGTTTAGGACGCACTGTTCAATCCAGCTCACGAAGAAATACGAGTGCTATTGTTGCTCTGTCATTTGAAGAAAATAAGTGTGAGTCAGCTGACAAGATAATTGCAGCAATCTGTCACTGAAATGACGGATAGGTGCTCTGAGACTTCTGCGAAGTTTTGCCACAAACAACAAAAAAGCATTTTCCACCACAGACTATTTCATCGGTTTGATTTTGATATAGTTCTGGTTAGAGGCTGTTTGTTAGTAAGGACACCGGCATAAAGGAAGTTGGTGATCTGTTTCTGAAACATGGCGGCTACGCTCCATTTACCATCCAAAGCAAAGATCAAGCGGTTGAAAAATCTCCCCACTGAGGGATAATTGAATCAACTTGGTGTGTGTTCAGACAGAGAACAAACAGATACATAAAATCTAAAATCCAACTGAGTCGGATTTATTTAGAAAACAAAGGCACGGTTCTGACAACACGCTGACAAGCCTTCAAGCAAGTGAATAAAGAGTAATGTTAAAAACTTCGCAATAAAAGGTAACAAAGTGAAAGATACAACCTGAACCGAAGAGAGAGAAGAAAAAGATCAGAAATGTATATTATCAAAGGAAAGGAAAGACAGTTAAGTGCACAGATGTTTCATATAGTTGATCCATCTTATCTGAAACAAACTTTTATCTCTCATTTGTTTGTAGATAAAGATGAAAGAGTTTCTCTCCGACTAGCTCCAGTGAATATCTGTCCATCTCTGCTTCTACCATCCCAAACTAACCACCTACATCTGGCCGAGCTTATATTGAATGAACCTATTCTTTGCTTGAATGCCACTCAAATGACAGAAAAAATATGTTTGCTTGTTGGCTCCTTCTGGCACGTAAGAAACTGCTGTCCGACGTGTGACAAAGCGTGACCAGCGTGTGGAAAAGTGTTTACGAAATGTTTGTATTTACCCTGTATGTGTACGAAAAATTGGACCGGAGTTGAGTCAATCTGATATATACAGCCATTAAAATCATAGTTTTGGGATATTTTTCAGTCCCATTTTTAAGTGCTGTTTTCTTTTCCTTTCCTGTTTTGCAGATTGAGTATTACATCAAAGAGAGCATGAAGACAGAGATGGCTCAACTGCAGCAGAGCGCGGTCCACAACCACACAGCTGCCATGTTGGAAATGGGCACCAACCTCCTTTCTCAGACGGCCGCACAGACACGCAAGCTGACCGATGTTGAGACACAGGTGAGGCCTCATTAAACCTAAAAAATGTAGACGTGTGTCATTCTGTCTTTGTCTTCCTCCAGCGAAAAGATCCATCCTATGGGCCATTAACCAAACTATTCCTTCTCCGACTTCCCCTAAAAGGTCACAGAGAGCTGGCCAAGGACAACACAGATGCTATATAAACTCCTGTCCCTTATTTGAGTTATTCGGCTCGGCTTCCTTTCAATGTTTCTTTGGCGAAGTTTGAGGAGGAGGTGATGGAAAGTTTTGAAGTTAGTGTTGGGTCATTTTTGCTAAAGCGCTATAAAGATAACTGTTTGCAAAGCCTAACAAAAGCCAATCATACCAGAGATTAATATCTGCTAAGTATTTCCATGTGTGGGGTGAACACTTGACGAAATGAAAACAAAGTTGATGGTTTATATACGCACTGAATGTTCTCTGTGGTACTTCCTCTAAAGTGCCCTAAATACAGCCTCGTGTTTTAAGTTTCCTTTTTCAGGGCTCGGTGCACATGTGCATGAAATTAGCATGTTTTACGGCAGCTAACAAGAGCAATAATATCATCTTTACCATTTTTGTACTTTGTGTATTTCTTACCATGACAGGTCCTGAATCAGACGTCCAGGCTGGAGATCCAGCTGCTGGAAAATTCTCTTTCCACTAACAAACTGGAGAAAGAGTTAATGGTCCAGACCAATGAGATCAGCAAGCTGCATGACAAGAACAGGTAAACACACAACATTTCAAGCAAACAAAACCATAAAACCGCGAGACAGTAAACACGCTGGAGAGAAACGGGCGAAGATGGAGCGGAGGAAATAAAGATGATCAAGTTTGTGCAGAAAACTTTCAGCTCTAAGTGCCGCTAATCTCCAGGGGAGCTGCGTAAATAAAACAAATCCTTGCTACCAGCTCTCGTTGACTACAATGCAGAGTATCCATAATAGGAATCTGGTATTATCTGAATGCATGAGGCTTTTCTTTCCATGTTGGACCATTTTGAACCGGTTGCAAAATCAGACAATTAAAATGTGGCTTTTGGTTACATTGTTCATGTCTCCAAACTTCTCCTGTAGTGTGATTCGTCCAGTGAGATCACTTTAGATGATGTATTGTTTAAAAGAGTTAGGTCCAGATCTCTTATTGCAGCATCCGCGGGGAGTCCGTGCAATCACTTAGGAAAAGAAAAAGCACCGTTCAGAGGAGTAATCTCAGGGGATTCTGAGTTTTTAGATCATTTTGAGACACAAGCAGAGCGGTTTTTGAGGGCAATTTACCTAATCTTTCGCAATTTTGACAGAATCCCTTTGTGTAACTATCATCTGTGAGTTTTGCCGTCGCTTAGCGTGCTGTAGAGGGAATCAGATGATTAGCGCATGAATTAGATGTCGTCTTGTGTCATTTTTCAGGCACTAGATCGAGCAGTGGTCATGCCTGTTTAGGGAAAGGTTTTCATGTTGTCGAAGCGTGCGTTCATCCTCTGTGTTTCCAGTGAGAACCTCCTATGAGTGCCAATTTTTTATAAATTAGATTTTATAAACTGATCCCCAGTCATGAGATTTCGACCAAAAATGCAAAATGAGATGCATTACATAACATGTAAATCAACGAATTCTTGGTAACAGAAATTTCATAACACTATTCAGTCCAGTTAAACCTGTGAAAACATTTCTCATTCCAGTGGATTTGATGATAAAGCAGTAAGAGTAATAAACTTTCTTTCTTTGACTTTCATGTTCACCTTCAGCCTCCTGGAGCAGAAAATGATCGAAATGGAGATGCGACACCGTGAAGAACTGGAGGCGCTAAAGCAAGAGAAGGGGAGCCTACAGGCTCTGGTGGGGAGCCAGAGCGGGGTTATCAGGGAGCTGGAAGCTCAGCTGAGCCGAGCCACGGGGAACAGCACAGCTCTGCAGAGACAACAGCAGGAGATGATGGATACCGTCCATAATCTGCTTAACCTCTGCTCTAAAGATGGAGGTAAGCTACCCGGAATCAATGCTTACATACCAAGAGGTTTGGCCCGCTTTCAGCGATTCAGACTGGAAATATGCTCTTGCACAACTGCCGTCACAAAAACAAAATCTGGCAATTTTATCAAGAGGTGAAAAAGTCCCGTCCTGTTAGAGGAGAAAGGGGAGTTTGATCACCTAGCATGGCCGCAGAGTCTCGATAGAGTTGGACCAATCAGTGGAATACGAAGTATGGTTTGGACGATGGCAGCAACAATGAAGAATTTGTTTGTATAAAGTAGGAATTAAAGAAAGCACTGACATAAAGCATGACTTACAGAGAACATAACCTTTTTTTTCCCACTTAAAAATCAATCGATGTTCATTTTTAGTGGAGAGTTTAGGCGTATGTTGACATTGCCAGTGTGGTTTGGGTCCTACTGGAAACACGGCTCTAAAATCCTGGGGATTGGGATCGTGACCTCGGTGATGCAAGTTTTTCTTCTGGTCAACATGAGGTTGACGTCAATCAAGTTAAACTGAGGGAATATCAACAGATATATCACAAACTGATAAGATACAGTATAAATGGTACACCCCATGGAGCTGCTAGCGTAGCCGTATAAATCTAAACCCTGTTCCCCAGTGAGACCCTCAGACAAAATCAAGAACATCCACTGTGAGCTGGCTCGGCCCTAAGAGGCAAAGCAAGGTTCATGTTTATGTGTCAGAGGAAGTGAGCAAACACGATCGACCGATCCAAACTTTCCCCACCCCCACCAGTGATGACCCTTACCCGGGAAAAAGCCCACTGACCCCTGCCAGACCACAATGCGCAAAGGAGAGCTTGCGGATTGGCTGTGCAGGACTTGAACTATGGGGCAGCACTCAACTTGGATTACATACTTCCTGTGGTCTACTGTAACAGATAGAAGATCTTTTTATTTTAAAATCCTCATGAAATTATGATGACACCACTTCTATAAACTTAACCCCATACTGAGAGACACAGGGATGTGCTGGCTATTCGATTCTGCATCACTGCGAGCAGCATGAAGAAGGAAACATGGATCTTATTGTAACCTGGTGTGTTCTTGTAAAACCGCTTTGGTACCGCTCATAAACCAGCGGGGGGCTCTTCTTTTGGTAACACATGGTTATCACACTCTCTAACTCTAAAAGTCAGTGCTCACTGCTGAAAGAAACAGGCTTTTTTCTCCCTCTGAGACTAAACTAAGGACCTCTGTACATTTGACCTGAAAGCAGTGCCTTCCTTACTCCTTGTGAACTCATTTACCCCCTTTTCTGAGACACCACATGCACTGGATCCCAACATTAGTCACTAATCCTATTGGTCACAGGAGATTTGAAATAAACATTTGTGACAGGGGATTGGTTGCAACTTCATTTCCATTCGTGGACTTCCTGATGAGATGTTTGTAGACCCCACAAGGGTTCCCTGAGGTTTCCCATCGGACAGGAAACAACAAGGATATGAAAGGATGTAGGAGCTATGAGAGGATAACCGCAACTAATGATTAACACAGACTCGGTCTTTATCATGCTGCTCTCTTTTGTGATTTTAATGTTCCATGCGATGAAGGTCACAGGCGGCCTCTCTTTCTGTTTAGTCTAGATTTGTTTATGTTGCATTCAATTACCGGAGGACCATTTCGGCCTGACTGGTCACTGTATATCATCTTTCAGTCTTGATTTTGCAAATTAAGCGTGTCCTGATGCAACACTTTTATCCCTCACCTCATGATCCTCCAGGTTTGATCAAACAAAACGCTTTTCTCGTCTTTATTTTGCTTCTGCTTCTGCTGTTTTCAGTGTCAGCAGGGTCAGTAGAGCAGGGTATAGCATCCCCGTCCCCCCCTTTCTGTGATTGGTGACTGACTTAATGAGAGCTGATAGAAATGGAACGTGGCCGCTGCTGCTCTGTGGTTGGTCCTTTCCTCTTGCATGGTGGTACTGAAGGTTGAGGCTGGCCTACGGGTCAAAGGTGCGCCCTTTGTTCACCCTAGCCTGAATAAGTCAAACTGTAATAGCTCCTGGGGGAGTCCCTGTCCAAAGGTGGTGAGGGAACATGTAGATCTTACCGATCATGAGACGCGCTGCTCCTGTTTTTCAGCAGCGTGTACAAAAACAGGAGCAGCATAGCTCTTTTTTTTAACGTTGAGAAAAGGGTTTTGTTTGTTTGTTTGAGAACTTGTAGTAGTTTTCATTTAAGGAATCGCTCACCATTTCAAGGTTGGCGTCTGTCTGCGTTAGTCACTGTTATGAAAACTGAGCTTTCCCTTAAAACACAGACTCAAATCACCTTTGGCATTGCTTTAGGGAAAATGACAAGCACTTCGACATGATAGCTTTAGCTCTAAATCCCCCTATACCTCATTTTTTCTCATTTGTCCATGTACGGCTTCTCCGAAGATTAGAGGTTTTATGCGTGTTTTCACTCTTTGAACCGGACTGGTTGAAGTTTTGGCCGATATTTTTGATGTGGCCAGTGCAGCAGTGGAGCTCTTGTTTAGTTTGTAATCATTACCCAAACCTCATTAGGGTGCAATGAGCCACACACTGGTATTAACAGTAATTGACCTCAGCTTTTGGAGCCCTGTAAAAGTTTCTGGCTGCAAAATATGAGTACTATTATCCCACTAAAGGAATGGCATTCATCATCCTTACAGCTGCTTACTCAGACACTTAGACAGGGGAATTACAATAGAGCTAAATAGCATCAATGCTAAACCCGCTCATTAGACATGACTACACTATCCAGATCTAGATTTTAAAAGCTCTATGTGATTATTTTTATGCTTCACTGACCAAGAGAACGAGTTGACACCTATTGTTGCTACAGCCGTGTAAAGCTCACAGCTCTTAGGAGTCACACCAGTGACCCTCCCAGAACTGTAGGTACCCCCTTCCCCTATTTATACTCACATAGGGAACAAGGGTATGTGATAGAGAGTGTTTGCACAGGACTGTTAAACAAAGCAGTGTGTTTTAGAGAGGTGAAACAGGGAAAATATGTGAGTTAGTTAATTGCATTCACTTACAGGCCTGAATTAAAACAAGTTCATCTAAACCACAGCAGCTTTGGGGAAATACTCTTGTTTTTACATATCTTGCTTTTTGAGATACATATACTTGAATTACACCTGAAAAGCTCCCTGAATGTCGAACCTAGCGTCTCATATCTCTTTGTGTAGGTGACTAAATACACGATTAAGTGTTGGAGATGGTCAAAGTGTTGGCAAATTATTGGAAATTCAGTGCACTACTTCTGACATGCTTTAGCTCAGTGGAGACTATAACTATTTTTGATAAAGTCAGACTGATTAACTTGAATATTTGGCAGCATTTCAGCATCTGTGCTCTCAAGTCTCATGTCGAAATCATCCTTTCTAAATGATAGCACTTTTCCCCATCCCAACCCATTAAAGGGAAAACAGTCACTTCAATCAATCAATCAGTCCTTATTTATACAGCACTTTTCATACACAACCAAGTAGCACAAAATCTACCCCAGCCCAACCCCTCATTCCCACCCCACGATCTAATTGCAACAGAAACAGTATTAAAATGCATAAACTTAAAAAGGGCTTGATTTTGTGAAAACGTCATTTTAAAACTCAAGATAAGGAAAGATTAAAAGTTTAGATTAAAATCTAAAAGCAAAGAAACATAGAATGAAATTTAGGGAATAATAAATAAAATGAAATTAAAACAACAGTAAAAGAAACTAAAATAAGAGCACCAAAGTAGCTCAATATAAGACGATCCTGTGATTAAAACTAGAATAAGTAAATGCTAAAACACTTAAACAAAGTTCATGATATAAAATTTAGTTAAAAGCAAGACTAAAAATGTATGGTCACTTGCTGGTGTTTGATGTAGAAACTCCTTACAGTGGCTTATTTTTTGACAACTGAAGAGTTCAGAAATAGAGACTTGATGGGAAAACCCTGATTTTAATCTCAGCTGTCATGTTTGCTCCCCACCCGTCCTTCATTGTGCTTCGGGCTGATGTTTTTCTCTTGATTGTTTAGTGGCTCGTCAAGTGATCACCAAATCAACGTCCCTGTCAAAACTAGACTCCATGCATGCACAGGATAAAACTAGAGCACTCTCTCAGAGCTTTCTGAAGCTCTTCCTATAAACAGTGCTCAGCATAAATGAGAACAATCCTTCAGAGTTGTCCGAAAACCTTTAGTTTCCTTTAAAATCTACATTTTCTGTGTCGGACTATACAACAAAATACTTCCTCAAATGTAAGCCATTGATTGAAAACAAGATGTTTTAAGTCGCACACAAAAAAGTTTTTTTTTTTTTCCCATTTAAAATCAGAATGCAAAAATGAGTACAACCCAATAAAAGTTCAGGGAGCAAAGCTTAGTTTTAGTTAGCACATCACCCTTATTTTCATTTAAACTCGGCTTTGTCAAAACTTTAGAAATTGTACTTTTGCTCATCTAGATATTGAGTAATACATTACTTTTAATAGGGGTGTACTGACTTATGCTGGGCGCTGTATACTCTTGTTAATGAAAGGACTTCATTCAGGGGAATTGTAGTTCATATACGTTACAGTGTTTAAAATATCCATCCTTTATTAAACACTAATCTAAAGTTGTCAGACTGTGAATGCTTTGGGGACACATAAATCCCAAATTTTCACACAGCTCTAATCCTCCTCACATGTTAGCTTAGTTCTACATATCAGTGTGGTCAAATATATTGTGGGAATCCTTGTGTAGTGCTTTGCGTCCTTCATAAACGAACAGACCCGGAGAAATTCATTGGGTCCTGTATGGAATCACTTAAACCCTCAGCGGCATTTAGAGAGTGATTATAGTCACATGGGAGCAGTGATGTCTATGGCAGTCCATTTAGCTCCATTACTCACTCCTTTTAGTTCGAGTATTTGGGCTCATTTGGCAAGGGTACTGATTTATGCAAACACCAAGGCCCGGCTGATCTTTTCACATGAACCCCCTACTGAATACGAGTCCCCGCTGAACTACAAAATATTTTTCTGTAAATAAATATTGGGACATAAATAATATTTGCAGAGCTGGGCAGCAAGCTGTTCGAGGAAGCCGCTCCTACGCCGGAGCATCAAGACTCTCGGCGGATTGTCTCTCTCCACCAATAAGAGATCTGAAAGTTGTGAAATATTCCTCCACACTTTTACAAAAAGCTCCCCTCTGACATTGATCTCCTTGGCCTCTAAAATGTGTCCCGCTGTCTGCCGGCGTGGGGTAAATTACCGCCTGACAGGCCAGCTCTTTGTTTCATTAAAGTCTGGAGTGCGAGGGCCCACACTGTCAACCTGTCACAGCAGGAGATTCTTGTCGCTGACACTTAATACTTTGTCAAAATCTTCGGATGGTAAACCAAAGAGAAAATCCGCCTTCTTCCACCCGAGGAAGTCCTGCACTCATGGGCGGGGGGATCAAAGTAAAAGGGTAAGGATCGCCGACACATTTCACTTCTCCCCGACGTCTTCTTTGACTCAACAATTCCAACAATCACAACAACGGTGTGAAAACCTCTCCAGAGAGGGTGCGGGGAAAAAGAGCGAATCGGAAGGAATTTCCATCAATATAACAAGGGCTAGGAAGGTAAATAAAACCACTTGTTATAACAGGAACTTGAAATTTATAGCTTGTAGTATTTTGTCCTCAGCCCCTTGCTTGGTTTCAAAATAGTGCCGCCATAATTATCCGCAGATGGAAATGGATGCAGCTGGTCTGTCAAAGTCTTCAGCCGTCCCTCAGAGCGAGAGATCACCCAGTCTATGAACCGCTTTCCTCCTGACAATAAGTTAGTTGCCCCCAGATTTTTATCTGGCCGTTACGAGATACTCGCTGTGAGACTTCACCGACAAGCTTCTGCATCAGTCCTTTCGAATGTTTCCCGGCTCTGAAAATGATGAATCGGCCCATTAAGGAATGTTTTCCAATTTGTGATTTCATAAAAACATTATAAAATCATTTTTTCCATGTTTAACGCCAGAGGTTGCATGATGGGTAACCGTTTATCATAACATGAAGTATTTTTACAGTGTGTTTACAGCTGTATCTGCTGAGTCGAGTGTTTATAAAATACTTTCTTCCTCATTTATAATCGCAGTACTGATCGCTTTATTTCCCTGTTTTACCTGCAGTTGTGCCAAACAGCACAAAAGTGGCCGATGAAGAAAAGAAGTTCAGAGACTGCGCCGACCTCTACCAGGCCGGTATCCACAAGAACGGAGTCTACACCATCCAGATCAACCAGCAGGAGACCAAAAAGGTTAGACGCAACAACACCTTGAGGCCAGCACACAGTGTAACAGGAAAACTCTTTGTCCTTTAGTTTTAGTGGTTTTACACACTTTCACTTTACATAGAAATTAAAGGTTAACTTCCTAAAGTTTACTGAAAGACCTTGAGGCACAGCTAAACACCAGCCAGCGATGAGTGAGAACGATGAGTTCAGGAGTAATGAAAGCTGAAAATACACTTGGCAGCTTTATGAGTGCTTCATTTAGCAGAGGGGGGGGGGGGGGGGGGGGATTAGGTGTGAAACAGGACGCTGAGTAGATCGGGATGGCGACAATGCGTGAGTGTGTGGATGTGTGTGTGCTTAACCTTGGCTTGAATTTTAATGATAGAGGCCATAATGCACCAGAGTTCGGAGATTATGAACCAACTTTTCCAAGATGATTGAAAGATAGTATACTGTGGAGGAGCTATTTTAGCCAATCTGAAGCTCTCACTCTGTAAGTGAAAACAGTTTTATTTTTTTCAATAACACCAAATCGCAGCATTGAAATATGGTGACCATACATCCTCTTTTACCCAGGCATGTCCTCTTTTTTGGGGGGGCTGTCCGGCCTGTCTGGGGGGAGTTTATAAAATCCTTCAAATATCCGGGGTTTTTGTACAGAAGCCCGTTTTTTCTCACTTTATTTACCATACATGTTCAGTGGTTTATTTTGGAAACACTCTGTGCTAACATAAAGTCATGCAACACTCACAGGAAACGCCGATAGTGTGAGCCACAGACCTCAATATGAAGAGGTTGTTCACACTGCTGGATGCTTCTTCTCCAAAGCTGCTCCCTGCCTCTGTTATTGTTTACTTTCCTCACGAAGCACGTAGCAAGATCCAAGCATGAATCCGATCGCTTTATAAAGTTTTATTAGCCTATCAGAGGCAGACGAGTAGGATGATTTGATTCGCAATGACTCCAGAAATGTTACAAAATGACGTATCTGCCCTCCCGGCTCGAAGGGTAGAAATGCGAAGCGGCGCCGCCCGGCTCGGAAGGTTAAAATGCATACATGCACCCAGCTTTTCGAGTAGAAATGCGCAACCATGATCTTGGCTTGGAAGGTTAAAATGCGTACATGCTGTCCCAGTTTAAATGGGTTAACTAAGTTGGAAGCGTGCAAAAAACACTCGACCGACCCAAAAAACCCTCAGAATTTTGCGCTCACAAAAACTCTTTTTGAAGATTCAGAATAAGATCACCCTAGCAAAGCCTTAAAATCTTGCATGTGCACGCGTGTGCACACAACTCGTAGTACTGTCCTCTTTTTGGGGATTCAGAGTATGGTTACCCTAATTTAAAGTTCAGTTTAAAGTTTTTTTTAGATATATTTACAGTTTGTTCTTATGATGAAATAGATTTTAATTCCACTCAGTTGTTACAGACAAAAATGCGTGTGTGCATGTGCATGAGTGCGTCCCTGTTAGCCTTGAGCATGAATGATGAGCGAGCCTGGGGAAAACCGTTCTGTCGGGGGCTCTCCTTTAATTATACCCAGGTTGTGCTCATGTGTGTTCAGCTGCGTGGGCTGCCTGAGGTGAGAGACCTCCTCGGCTCCACCCCGGGGTCTTCTCCTCAAAACAAAGAGCAGCCCGGCAGATACAGCACCAGCCTCGCATTATCAGCTTACACACACTGAGGTCCAAGGTTAAGGGCCACATTACGCCCAGGACCTCCCCTTTTGATCCTGCAGAAACACGGCTGTCTGATGAGGAACATCTCCGGGGAGCTGGTGAGGGATAAGGAGACGCAGATAAAGTTAGAAGGGGACGTAGATATGCAGCATCCTAGAAATGATTCACCCAAAAAGCCGGGAAAAGGAGTGTCTGAAACTGTACAACTGTCCTCTGACCCTCTATTGTTCGCTAATGCCGCTGAGAGTCACATTAGACGCTGGAATTCTTTGCTAATTCTTAAGTTTAAAGAATGCACAAAGACCTTTGGGTGCTATTACTCCATTACCTTTATGCATGATTTCCCACCCTGCTTTGCTCTCATGTTTCATCTGCGTAGGTGTTTTGTAACATGGAAACAGCTGGCGGTGGATGGACGGTCATCCAGCGCAGAGAGGACGGCAGTGTGGACTTCCAGAGAACGTGGAAGGAGTACAAGACGGTGAGACATGACGAATACATGCAGACATAGACTTGCCCTTTGAACAGACGCTCATTTATATCCATTGAGAGCCCGATGATAATGGCGGAGAACAGAGAAACGAGAAGAAGACACTCATTTGTATCCATTAAGTTTAAAATATGAAGCAGCGCGATGAGAAAAGCATGCTGTTTCAAAATCCATTTCCATTGGGGTTTGACGGATAGCCTGCACTTTCTGGCCTTGATGAACATCCTGAAAACTACGAGAGCTGGATTCTCTGATCCAAAAAGCGCCAGATTGCTTCCGCCAGATATTTCTCCTCTGAAGAAAAAAAACTCCTCTGTCGCTCTTTGTAGAAGCAATACTGTCAAGGGTGTCTGAGACTTTCCCCGCTCCTCTGCTGAGGCCTTGTGACACAGTTATTCCTCCTCCTTTCCAACAGGAAATTATTACCTCCATGTAACACAACACGATTGTTTAGTCTCTTTAGCAATATGCCAGGTGTTGCATCTGTTTGTCATCAAGGGGAGATTGTTGTATGTTTGCGGTGGAAGTGAAAACATTTCCAGTCTGAGTCGTGTTTATTCGGTAAAATTGGAATTATTATTCCTGGCTGCTGCGTTGCTTATGTTTGCTTTGAAAGTCACCTGTGTATACCTATCGCACCGGGTCTGTTTAATCCGCGCTTTGTTTCCTGTTAGATGATTTCCCCTATCTTCACCTCTTTTGATATGCTGTGTACATGTCAGGATTTCAAAGACATCTCGCATGTCAGATAAATAAAAAGCCTTTAACTGGAAACAGACGGAAAAAGGAGCAATGATTCAAAAAGGACAAAGTACAACATAATTTAGGGTATACAAAATATAGCACCAAAGGGACATAGTATATGGAAGCCCACCAGTTTTATATCAATGGAGCTGTTCCAATATTTACACTGTTATCTAACAGACGAGTATAACCGTTCCTCTCCTACAGAAAACTCAAACTATAAATGCTGTTTTATTATATTGTCAATTTCTTATTCGTGGCCTTTTGAGGATTGGGTTCGCAGATATAATGTGCTAGCTGTTCAAGCTGCGATATTTCTTCTTTGTGGGACTGAGTTTTGCAATAGATCTATACTAGAACTCAGTAAAATGTGACCTTGAGTTCAATCTAAAGACGTTTATATAGTCAATAACAACCTTATAAGGAGACCACACTTTACAGCAGAACTTATTTATATTCTTTGGAGACTTTTTGTCTATCTAGCAGGGATTTCCTCTTGGCTGGTTCAGAACTGGTGTCCTACAGCTACTCAAAGGGTTAGTTACAGTGAACAGCCAAGAGGTTTATTGGAAGACTCTATGACTTATGTAATGATCAATAAACAAGACTTTGACAGTATTTAGTCATAACATATTAACACAGGGATAAATAAATGAAGTAAGAGAAAAAAACAGAAACAAGGCAAAAGTCATGGCTGGAAAAAAAATTAAGTTAACTTATTAATATTAATGTGCTGTTAAAAGTCCATGGTGGTGACAAAAACTTTAAAAAATCAGTCTAAATAGTTCCAGAAGTTGTCAGAAATAGCTATAGTAACTAAAATACAAATTTACTAGAGTTAAATGAAACAATAGATTTTTAATGAACTAATAATGAACATTTAAAAACGTCAACAGAAAAAAATAAAAATAGCAAACTGTTAGCTGCAAAGAACAGTTAAAAAAGCTTTAAATCGTTTAGAATTAATTGAACTAGCGAGCTTGGTGCACTTAAAAACTGTTAAAATAGCTACCTTCTGTATTTTTCGGGTGATAAGGCGCACAGGACTATAGGGCACACTGTGAATTGACGTGTCTTTGTTCACACACAAGACGCACCAGATTGTAAAGCGCATTAAGCAATAATTGGTTTATTATTGCGAGCACGTACTTCAGGCACAGGCTGCATTACATGAATGCACTTCTAGTTTAGACATTACAGTCAGGCAGTGTTGTAGACTGCTCAGAGGTCCTGTTACAGGGCCGATCAGGTAGTGACACAGCATACCGTAATGCTCAGAATATCCACTGAGCGGAGCGGCTTCATTGCTTACCAAAGTCGTACTCACTAGGGCCCGACTGATATGGATTATTGGGGGCCGATGCCGATACTGATCATTTTCGAAGCGAAAACGAATCTCATTCTCCGTGTTTTATTTCTGAAAATATCGGCGAAAATCAGTGAGTTTTGGCCGATTACAGATTAGTCTCAAATGGGCTAAAATTGGCAGATTAAATCGGCTCGCCGATAAATCGGTCGGGCCCTAGTACTCACACATTTTGACAGATTTTTGAGCGCATTGTACCACATAAAATCGGTCAGTAAGCACAAGTAATCATACATAAGGTGCATAGGATTTTAAGACGCACTGTCAATTTTTGCAAAATTTTAAGGATTGTAATTGCGCCTCATCGTCCGTCAAATACGGTACTTGTCTTTAAAGGCTGGTGAGGGTTCAAATATGAATGTTAGAAGCTGCTGTTATAGTGTGCATTTATACACGCAGCAGTTTCTGATTTACAGCGCTTCAGGTTTACTCTGTTTTTCTCAGACAAAGTGATTTTAGCAAGTGTAACTGAAATGCAAACCGAGCGCTCTGTCCAACTATATGACTAACCATCTCCTCATCTTTTCGGAGCTGATAGATGTAGATCAGGTTTGCGTGTGAACGATTGCGAAGCACCGGAACTACACGAGAGAAACCTGTCAACAGATTTTTCCTCCAAGTTTTTTTAATCCAGCCAGGGTGCTTGAGATAAACTGCGGTCACATTAGGAGGTATTGGCCCGAACTGAAAGTCAGTAAGAGGGAACTTCTCATCAGGAGTGAGATTGATTATAGAGAAATAGGGAGAAATAGGGAGAGAAAGCAGTAATGGGCCCGAGTCACTTTCTCTTCCACCCACTCGACAGGACATGCCTAAGGCTCAAGGAATGCCCCATATTTACTTTCCCTCCTTCCTATTTCTCACCACTACACACACTCAGCACAAACACAGACTTCTCCCTGACTTCGCCTCATCAGCCCCCCTCCTCCTCCTCCTCCTCCTCCCTCTTTCCCAATCTCAAATAAAGCGGTGCAGACTGTCCTGTCAGAGCTGTAATGTCATCCCATTTTGTTGTATTTCCTTCTGCAATCCGCCGCTCTTGCTGCTGTCAGAAGCACTTTGTCTGCGACCGGGAGCCACTCTGATCAAATACAAACATTTGCAGTTGTTTGAAGGAGCAACCGTACATGCAGTCCGTATTTTGGAAAAGAAGTCTTTAAGTAATAATGAGTTTAACATGTGGGACCTGAGCGGGAGACAGATGTGGAAAAAGGTGTGTGACTCTCAGCTGGTACCAATTCAAGCTCTTTTATAGGTAGACAAGTCCATCCACGTGCGTGTGTTCAGATACAGTATTTTGATGTTATTTTCTGCTGTGATTTATAGAAAAGAAGAAAACGCCAAGTACCCGGAACAAAAGACAATCTGCTCCATCCGCTGATGGATAAACAGCCCTACTTGTTCCATTTGTTCTGATCTAAATCCTGATTTAAAAAGATAATTCAGTAAATAAATTAGAAAACTCTTTCCCATCCGTTGCACAATCCTCGAGTGTTGAGATTCTAGGAAATGCTAGAAGATAGCATGAATAATCCGCCGTCTAGGATTTCCAAAAAAGGGGCCTCAGTGTTATTTCCTCTCTGTTTATTGTGTCCCTCTCTCTCCTCTTTGCAGGGCTTTGGGAGCGTCTCCGCTGAGCACTGGTTAGGAAACGAGTATGTTTACCAGTTGACCAGCACTCGGCAGTACGCCCTCCGTGTGGTGCTAACGGACTGGGACGGACACCAGGCCTTCTCACTTTATGACCGCTTCCAGATTGGCAGTGAGAAACAGAACTACAGGTAAAAACTGATCATGTTTGTACAAAAAAGGTGGGACTTTAGCTCATGTTAGCTTGTTAGCATGTTTTCTTCATCTGCTAAATATCAGCAGGCTACTATCGTCAAGGTACCGTCATCTCTGAGAGCAGTACAGCATGTTAGACGATATAAATTTGGATTAAATGCCTCTGTCTTTCCAAGGCCAAAATACTGCCTTAATGGGTGCTGACATATTTCACTGCTGATGTATTTTGGACTCGAGGAATGTGCAAGAACAGTCTGGCTGGTGAAGCCACTGGATTGACGTCAGTCCCTTTCCTCGAACCAAAACAAAACTTGAACGTACCAAACCACATCCCTCAGGTCAGGTCAGGCCAGGCCAGTCCAAAGCAGAACAGACTCTTGTGTTAGACACTCAAAGTTTAGGACACATCAATGACTCTTGTGTTTGTGTCCTCTCCATTACTCATGGAAATGTGGTAGAAAAAACAGCAGCAGCCTGGATTTGTCAACCTAGCCTATCGAGCGTGACGCCACATCCTTTCTTTTGAAACTTAACCTAAAACTAAATTATTCAGAAATATCAACACTAGCACAAAAACAAACAACTTCTATTAATAGCTTAAGCTTTATTTGTTTCAATCTGTGAACCCACCCTGCCTTTATTTGGGGCAGGCTTCAAAAAGAGACAGGCCTTTAATTGGTTCCTCTTGAAGTCTTCCATGAGCAGAACCAAAAATGTGATCTTGTTAGTTCAGCCTGGAGTCTTTCTAAGAAACAGTTGTCCTCTTTTTGGTCTTCTTCTGACCCATATTCTATTCATCAATATGAAGTTAGTCGTCCTCTTTTTTCTGCAGCCAGTCACCAGAGGGAGCTCTACAAGTTTCGGCTTCACTTTGAGGCTGTAGTTTTGAGTCTTACACATCAATCTAAAATAATAAGTTGATGTAGTTATCATGATGCCTCTTAGTTTGTGGCAGATTCATTACATTTGACGTTGTACCTCTGGTGTAATGTTATATGATGACAGGCCAGCATCTACTCAATCTGAAGCTAGCGATACACCTACATTAGTTTCTAACGAGATCAAATTTTGAAAAACGGACTTCATGCTGTCTTGGCAACACAGATGAAGTCCATAAGCCCATTAGAAAAAATATTTAATGACACAATAGCTTTGGTGAAAAGAGGGTATTTCCTCACAGACTTCTTGCAACAAGTGGAGCCGCACCCTCTTGGCTTTTTCGAAAGGATGCTGGCAGAAGACACTTGGCTTTACCTTTTGAAATCAAGAGGCTACGTCACCCTCTTATCCTCCGTCTGCGGTGTAACACAGTGTCTGCACAGCCTGTGTGAATGCAGCAGAAGCCTCGGTCCTCTGTCTGTTCCTACTCAGGATGTTTCCTGAAACACGGTCAAATGTAGGTCACGTTTTGGCAGCAGTTGGAGCACAAGACACAGCCACTGTAGCAACATGCATAAAACAGAAGAAAAGTCATCCGAAGCATATAAATCCAGCTTCACACTGTGGGTTTATATAAATTATTGCATGAATGTTTAAACTATAAGCGTATTTGTTCTGAACTGCCTTCTGTGTACACTTGCTTTTAGTCACTTGTCTGTCTTTGTAGCATTTGTCACCGCTGGAGAAAGGACAGAAAACAACCGAGATAATAACACTTAAATCGAAAAACAAGACGTTTTCAAGTGTGAGTCATAAACATGGCCAAACTGTAAACCTTCCAGATGCATAAACCGTGTCAATACAGTTATGTAAGCCTGCGGTGAGGTTTTTCTCATCGCAAATTCCTTCCATTCTGAATATATCGCTTGTCATCATCTCCTCATTGTAAACTTACCCTTGATTGACACTTTGTCCTCATGTCTTGCGGGGGCGAAGGTTTCTATTTTCTTTTGAGGGGGTTAATGATAACAGGCCTCAAACTGTGGCAGATGCTTGGACCTCTCAGATGTGGAAACTACTGCAAATTCCACAGACTTCCAAGCAATTGCTGGCTTCAGAGGAGAAGGTCTGACATGTCCAATTCGGCCGGTTTTGCTGGAAGACCGGTTCTCTCTGATAAGAGGTCCCTTCTGTTGTGAAATTGCTTATGTTGAGCTTTAAACGGCGAAATGAGGAGGGAGAATCTGACGCTTAAAAGCCTTTACCTCAACCTTTCCATTCCTCGAACCAAACCCGAGAGAAGAATCAAAGTGTCGAGTGTTGTCCCGCAGCCGCGGCCGCTCGGCTCAGTGCCATACCTCATTTTCAGAATTGTCTTGTGATGACAGGGTGTTTTGCTTCACAAGGTTTCTGTCCTGGGGAGATTGTGCCTTGAGCGGGCTCTGCGGTTTTCCCCTGAGGACTTGAGAAACGAATTTCAATCGAGATTAAGAGATGGAGTTGTGTGTTGTTGGAGATGGAGAGAAGATTTGCCACCTTATACTTCTGTTATTTATTCCTGGCTCAAATCAAGAAGTTTTTCACACTTTCTCAGTGTCAAAAGTTCTTTGCAGATTTGGCTTTTCAGGATCCATCACCATCTAACTACCTTGACAACTCTCTTTTATACACACATACACTCACCGGCCACTTTATTAGGTACACCATGCTAGTAACGGGTTGGACCCCCTTTTGCCTTCAGAACTGCCTCAATTCTTTGTGGCATAGATTCAACAAGGTGCTGGAAGCATTCCTCAGAGAGCTTGGTCCATATTGACATGATGGCATCACACAGTTGCCGCAGATTTGTCGGCTGCACATCCATGATGCGAATCTCCCGTTCCACCACATCCCAAAGATGCTCTATTGGATTGAGATCTGGTGACTGTGGAGGCCATTTGAGTACAGTTAACTCATTGTCATGTTCAAGAAACCAGTCTGAGATGATTCCAGCTTTATGACATGGCGCATTATCCTGCTGAAAGTAGCCATCAGAAGTTGGGTACATTGTGGTCATAAAGGGATGGACATGGTCAGCAACAATACTCAGGTAGGCTGTGGCATTGCAACGATGCTCAATTGGTACCAAGGGGCCCAAAGAGTGCCAAGAAAATATTCCCCACACCATGACACCACCACCACCAGCCTGAACCGTTGATACAAGGCAGGATGGATCCATGCTTTCATGTTGTTGACGCCAAATTCTGACCCTACCATCCGAATGTCGCAGCAGAAATCGAGACTCATCAGACCAGGCAACGTTTTTCCAATCTTCTATTGTCCAATTTCGATGAGCTTGTGCAAATTGTAGCCTCAGTTTCCTGTTCTTAGCTGAAAGGAGTGGCACCCGGCGTGGTCTTCTGCTGCTGTAGCCCATCTGCCTCAAAGTTCGACGTACTGTGCGTTCAGAGATGCTCTTCTGCCTACCTTGGTTGTAACGGGTGGTTATTTGAGTCACTGTTGCCTTTCTATCAGCTCGAACCAGTCTGGCCATTCTCCTCTGACCTCTGGCATCAACAAGGCATTTCCGCCCACAGAACTGCCGCTCACTGGATATTTTTTCTTTTTCGGACCATTCTCTGTAAACCCTAGAGATGGTTGTGCGTGAAAATCCCAGTAGATCAGCAGTTTCTGAAATACTCAGACCAGCCCTTCTGGCACCAACAACCATGCCACGTTCAAAGTCACTCAAATCACCTTTCTTCCCCATACTGATGCTCGGTTTGAACTGCAGGAGACTGTCTTGACCATGTCTACATGCCGAAATGCACTAAGTTGCCGCCATTTGATTGGCTGATTAGAAATTAAGTGTTAACGAGCAGTTGGACAGGTGTACCTAATAAAGTGGCCGGTGAGTGTATTTACAACTGTTTAAAAAGTGTCTCCTTCGGGAAAAATACGGCTCCAATTCCAGAGACAGTTTGCAATTTATTGAGACCCTACGTTTAACTTAAAATAGTTTAAAAACAACATATGAACTGTTGAGACCGAAAAAGGTTGTTTTATTTACACAGCCTGCTCATTGAAATGTTTTGAAGGTCACACGTTTCAAAAAAGTTGGAACAGGGACACAAAATACTGAAAAGTCGGTCAGTACTAAAAAGAAAAAAACCCTGGAGAAACATTCCCCGATTAATGAGGTTGATTTGTTATGAGTTAGTTATATGACTGAGGCTATAAAGGGCATTTTAGACAGAATGAGTCTTTCAGGAATAAAGGTTTGAAGTAGTTCACTCTTTTAACTTTCTAATTTCAAAAATCTCAGCATGATGTTCTTAAGCGTGAAACTGCGACGATTTTCGTCTGCGGTACATGATGTCATTAAGAGAATCAGAGAACATAGAGGAATCGCTTTAATAAGAGAACAAGGTTAAACAATCATACGGGATGGTGGTGATCGAGGCTCCAGGGAATGTGGCATTAAGAAAACAAACATGACTCTGTGGTGAAAATCACTGCATGGCCTCAAAATAACTCCCCAAATCAGCATCTATGATAAAAAAAAACTGACTCAAATTATCCTGAGTAAATAGGAAACCATTTATCAACATGATCCGTAAATGTTGGCCAACCTTTTCTTTTATTTATTGATTGTTTTACATAAAAAATGACAAAAATCTTAACAGTTGAGCAACTGAAATTCTGTATCAGGCGAGGATTTGGCAGTATTTTACTGGCAAAGTTTCAGGAATGAGTCTCATTTACAGAGTATTGTCCAAAACAGGCAAAGCAACATAGGAGTACACCAACCGTGTTCCAACTTCTTTCAAAGGTGTCACTGCCATCAAAAATGTTTCAACGTCATTATTTAATATGCTGTCTTTGCAACATTTGCAGTAAAACCGATCAAATAATTTGCAAACTCTCAGAACCAGCTTTTATTTACAAGTTTAACATAGTGTCCCAACATTTTCCACATATTTTAACATCCCCGTGTAACCTTTCGTTCTTAAGGACTGGGGAAACAGTAACTGTTCTTGTCCAGCTGAAACAGGCGAAAGGGCATCCCCAGCCACCACCAGATGCAGAGGCTCTCGCTGTGCAGGACTCCAAACAACACACTGATCTCTATAAATAGATTTGTTCTTGAAAAATACTCGTGGTATGATAATCACACATTGCTCCTCTGAATCGCGAGCCAAAACAAACCAGATGGCCGGGCCTTGGACGAACCGGCGCTGCCACGTTCTCTGTTCTTTCTGCTCTGGCACCTCCCTGCTTTTAAATGTCAAACAATCTGCGATAAGCTCTGCAAAGTGCTTATGTTAGCCTGAAACAAAAGCAGTTGGAAGAGATATTCCTGGTCGTTTTGTAGATTTAATTTTGATTATTTTTCTGTTGTTTGATCTAGATTCTTAAAGCACACTCAGTCCTCTAGCAGGCTGTAAAACAAAAGTGCACAATCAAGGCCACAAACTAAAAAAAAAACCCACTTGGACACAAGGTAGAAAAACTTTGTTGTCTAATTCCAACAATGCACATGACTCACCATTTATCAAATACAACACTGAGCATTATAAGCCAGTTTGTCTTGCTGCCAGCTTCTTAGTTTCATATATACGCTGAAAAGGAAATTACTCAACATGCAGAGAGGGAGGGAGGTGTGCAATTATTCCTTTGTGAAATATAGAGTCCTAATCCTAAAGTAATGAAATCATATTGACACAAAACACATTTATTACCAGCGCTCTGAGGCTTTTGGACCTGCCATTCCTTTTTGTGCAACCATCCAGTCCTTGTTGGCTTTGTTCGCTGTAATGAAAAATTATATCAGTGCATTTATAAAATTATTGACGAAGGTAGAGTCCGATTTTTACAGTAAGAGCTCTGGCTAATGCTTCAGTGGACTCTGCAATGCTCTCATTTAGATAGTAAGAATGAAAAGTTTTCAGATTTTAAAAGATTAACTTTTAATTTATTGATACTGTCCAATCTAATCTCCAAGAAAACCCTTTTAAACAACAATAAAAACTAGTTTTTACTTAATGTAATAAATCTGGGAAAAGACTTAATCCATCAGAGTCATCTTTGAGATTTCAAAGCCGTGTTAAATACCGTTGTTATGATGTCAAATCCTGCCCTTGGGAAGTTTTCCTTATGAATCATAAATGTCGGTGAGAAAGCAATGACCCGCTGCACTATTTTTGTTCAGGTTGTGTCTTCACTTGTTAACTATACATAAAAACAGCTAGTTTGGAACCAAAGTGTGCGATTTCACCACAAGGTTCATCTTCACTAGTAGAGGGTAACGATCGCACTCATCACACTGACTGACTGAATTAAGTTTTTAGTTTTTCTGGCCAATTAAAGGAAAACTCATTTTCCTGAATGGGGGGTTTGATACTATGAAGACTTATATGCTTGACTGTCTCTGAGCAAACACGTGAGTGTAAACAGCTTCAGATTACTGCCAATAACCAACTATCAGCAACAATACAGGGTCACATATAGGGTTGGGTATCGTTTGATTTTGAACGATTCTGATTCCAATTTCGATTCCTCATTTCGATTCCGATTCCTATCGATTCTCTAATTCGATTCTTTTAAAAGGCAGGATATCAAAAAGAAAAAAGAAAAAAGAAAAAAAAAGCATGGTTTGAATGAGGGTGCTAACCGGGGCTCTTCTTTTTTGATGAAATTTCTGAACTTCTCCATGAATTTTTAAATCCTATTAACTTTTTAAGAACTTTACTATGGATTTCTCACAGAGCTATTTTCAACCAGTATATAAATATCAATTTTTGTTTTCAGGTCGTTTGTCTATGAAAAAGTACAAGGGCTAACGTTAGGTGGATATTTAAGTTTACTCACCGTACACAGTTCAATTTCTTTACCGTTTCAAAGTTAGCAGAGGACATAAGTAATTTATTGTTTCACTTATCTGATCCTGACTGGTTAGCGGAAGACAGGTGTTGTGCTGTAGAATGCACCCCTGCCGTAGAATGCCTCCCCTCCACTGATTAGCTTCTTAGTGGAAGAAATATGATCTCATATTTAATAAAACACGGGTATTAGATCATGAAAACGTGTCAAATGGAGCAGTAAACTTTCGTTTTGTTTGTATGTGTCTCAAAAATGCACACATAAAGGTGTATTTGGGTATATAAACTGTAGAGTAAGCTGTTAATGTAGAGAACATAATATTTTCAGGACAGTAAATATTCCGAATCAGAGGGCGATTGTTTTCGGCATATCTGAATAGCCTGAATGAAATCATTAAAGGCACACGCTTTAGATTCCGTCCAACGGTAAGAAAAACTTGGATTGTTTCGCCTTGTTGTGTACTTTCAACCGCGCTCCCGTCAGGGGTGCATTCTCTGGCACAACACCGGCGAAGCGCGTCAAAGACGAGCACTCTGGTATTTCTCCTCCATGAATCCTGAGGTGTTTAATCATGTTGGTCGTTTACCCTCCTTTGCATGATATAACTGTATTGCTAATGTTGCATTGAGATAAGAGTTCATTCTTCCTGCTAAAGTTAGCCAAACTTTTGACCAACGAAGAAGAAGCTGCCGAACACCAACGAGGACGGAGCGTATGAGACGAAGCCACACAGAGAGAGGAGAGACAGAGAGAGATTGTAACCCACAGCGGCTGCATTGCTGTGGGTTGCAATGTACTTTCTCTCTCTGTCTCTCTCCTCTCTGTGTGTGGCTTCGTCTCATACGCTCCGTCCTCATTGGTGTTAAGCGGCTTCTTCTTCGTTGATTTTCGGCGGCTATTTCTTCCGGTCGGCGGACTCTGGCATCAAAACTTGGAATCGAAATTTTAATATTTGAACGATACCGGAAGAATCGAAGTTTTAGTCCCGATTCCCATCGATTCTCGATTCCCAACCCTAGTCACATATGACAAATCATAATGCTAGGGTGATCATCTGTGACATTTGCTCATACAACAGGAACTATGAAATGATCTTTGTTTGAGGAAAATGAGGGCAGATCATATTTATCAAACATTTCTAAGATTATGAAGATTGAAGAACAGCCAGGAAACCCTACAGATGAATCCATCTTCCTCTCATGTTTTATGTAGGACCTTGCCACTATGAAGAGCCAAGTGTAGGATTTAAAATAGGCCTTCTTACCCTTGCGCAACCCCTACCATATTGGTAAAGCTTTGACTCTGTCCCATATTAGAAATCAGGTTCGAACTAGGCTATAGAGCTATAAATCTGGTGCAACCCAGAGCTGACAATACCTTTTGTTCAAGCAAGTTGATGTGAAGCTGAGGACTGTGACATTAAAAACATAAGTATGACCAAATCAGAAGATATCAAACTGAGAAGGTAGAGTATTTTCTCATACCCATGACTGCCTTATGTGAAAACAATACCAAAAGAACTCGTAAAATCTCATTTAAAAAAAATAAAACTATTTCAAGAGATTTGGACTGAGCCAAGTTCAAGTCATTCAATAGTCTGAATAATTTTAAGGTGATTTCAGCCTCTTAAATCTAAATTTGTACGGTTTTTTACATAGAGGCAGTCTCAGTGATGTGACCCAAAGGTTTCTTGGAAGGTGTTATGAAGCCCAACGATGGTGGTCCCCAAATTAGAAATACTGACTCCCAATAACTTCTGATCAATCTGACCGCAGTCAAAGTCATGTAGTTTTGTCTGGTCTGAAGCCTCCTGGTAAACAGCTGCAGTCATCTCAGCCAGTTATATGCAAATGTTTGCAGCCTCTTAGCCTTTAATTGGAACCAGGTTACATATATTTATTCACAGGTATTTTAATATAGTGGGTCCTTGGACACTTGAGCTTTTTTGCACTCCTTCCCGAATTTTAACACCTGCTGTCACCACTATGGCATCCCCATTTCCTATCAGAGTAAACTTCAGAGTGATTTAATGGGTAATTTCAGTGATTGCAGATATTGCTTAACCTGAACTGGACCAAATAAATTCACTTCTGTCACCAGACCTTGCACTTTGATTTATTTTTCAGTGCAATGAGAAATGAGAGGAAACCATGCCAATCTATTTTACACAACATCTAAAATGCATCAGCCCTGCAGGGCACTCGGCTCCAACAGAGAGCATTGAAGAGGGAGCTTATCAGGAGGTCCATAACAGTGCAAGTCAGTCAAACAAAAACAGATTCTACACAGGCTACATCTGCACAGTGTAAGCTGACATGAGAAATATTGTTTTAATGCTGATCGAACAACTCTTGTAGACATTATGAGGAATAAATTGGGACTGACCAAAGCTACAAAATTCCCACTGAACCACAACCTCATAAAATTGTGAAATGTGTTGGTTTTTTTTCTTCCCTTCATTGTGAGCGAGGTCACTATAATTGCCGAGGTTACTGTCTTTATAAACAGCAGAAAAAGTCCTCCACCGTCATGGCTGACTTAGTTGCTGGGATACAGCATGGGTTGCAGAAAAGAAAATAATAAAACGAAATATAATTTGACGACCTTCACAAAGACTCGTAATGATAGCCATCTCATCAAAACACTCCGTAAATCACCCTCATTTATCAACATTTATTTGCCATAAAAAAGGATTTATTACGATGTCGAAGTACAACCTGCACAGCACTGAAAGCACAACAGATAAGGACCAGAATAAAAGGTCAGAGGTTGTTTCGAGGAAAATACAAGAAGAATAAAAGGAACTTCAACAATGCTGAGTTTGAGGGAAAATTATGGCTCAGACAAAAAAGAAAAAGGCCCAAAACTCGATTATGTAACTTGAAAGATGGAGCCACAAACTGAAATGAATGACACACAATGCCAGCTTGGATAAATAGTGTCAGACAGATAAACACTGAGGACTGATGATGCTCTTGAAATCACAGCGAGTTTTTGTGATTAACACAGTGGGTGGTTTTGTTCAATTTTCCAAAACACGGTATGTTTGACAGTTTAATGAAAGCTTTGCACCAAAGGAATAACAAGGATTATTTTGTTGTCTAACCAAGAGAGACCACCTGAATTTGTAGATTGGGGTGTGCAGTGAGTGTATTTCAAACATGTCATATGAATTACAAGAGGCAGTGCACTCAGAGAGAGATCTATAAAGTCCCTCGACATGAGCATGAAGCTATGGGTTAATATGCTTGTTACCAATGCATGCATCAAACACTGATATGAGCAAAATTTAAAGCCATAAACAATGATAAGAATTTAGAATTAACCTTATGATTATTTGACATTTAAAAAAAATCACCATACTAAAAAGATACACTGCTGATCTATAAATAATCAGATTTTCTACATTTGCCTGAGTTCATGACGCTGAAATAACTTCAGTTTTAACCGTACGAAAGATATCAATCCTTGAATAAATGCCACTGAGGCACCACTGGCCCAAGCAGCCTGAGTCCAAGCTCTCTTTACAGAGGTTCCTTTCCTGCATGTCACTCCCTCTCACAAATAAAACCCCCAAAATCAATAAAATGATGTTTAAAAAGAATACATGTAAAGGCTGTGTATTGCACTCAGTGAGGGTTGTCATTTCTCAAAGACTAACTGAACTGAACTAAAGCATAAAACAGGATCATCTGCATACACGTTGATATCAAATGAAGCACCTGATAAAACAGCACAGGTAGTGAATCATGTTCTCTATTCTCAAGGAAAATGCTCCAACTAATGAATATTTGGTAACCCTCATGTGTCCCTCGCCCTGTCTCCCCCCTCCTTTTGGTCTTAAAGCTGTTGAATACATGTGAGTAATCATGTTTTAGTGGTACACTGAGTCATAGGGGTTGGAAAACATAAGTGGCATTTAGTAAAATTCTCTGTAATTAAACAGTAGTTAGTTTTGCTGCAGACTTAGGATTGTAAAACCTGAGGGCTTTCCTCGTCTCATGACAGTGAAAGGAATAAAAAGAGAACAAGAAACCGACTATTCCTCGTGTCGATTATTTCATCAAGTGACATCAAGTCAGAGATTGGAGCAGGTTTGAGACTTGGATACACTTCAGAATTGACTTGGGAGCTTTGGGACTTGAGGGCAATCTTTTCACTTTCTCGTATGTTATTATACTAAAGCTTGTCATCCCTGGTTGATGTTGCCTTTTGGACCTTTGTCATAACAGGTGATTGTCAATTCCTGGATCACCTGCTGTGATAACTAAACACTCAGAAAGTGGGTTGTGTTATTTGGGGAACTGCTAAAGAGTTTGTCCAAAAGTTTAGCGTAAAGGCACTGTAGGAACGAGGCAGGTCACAGTGCTGAGATGTGGATGTCAGGGGCGGATTCAGGGTGTAGCTGGAGGTGCCCCATCCCCAGCCACAGGGGTGCCCCCTTCTCTTAAATTTAATTATAAACCCCAACTTGGCTTGAACTTGTGATCATAGACTTGAGTCTGGCCCTGAGCTTGTAGTCAACAATAGGTTAAGTCAGAATTTAGGCATAAAAATTAGGCAGTCGAGTTTATTTCTCAACATATTTGCAATTTTGATTAAATATGTTATATTGTATGAATTGTGCTGCGGATATTATGTGACTAAACAGAAACCAGTAGTCTGGCCTTGGTTAAAAATGGTACTTTTCTAGGCTAAGTCTAAAGTTTCATATATCCACTGATTGGGGTCAGTCAACATCCGATATTCTTCATTATTTTGATAAAACACACGTATAGATGTCCTGATTGCAGCCAGAGAACCATTATTGTCAAAGTTTTCTGAGGTTACAGCTGTTAATTATATGCACAGACACATGTTGAGGCTTACAAGAAAAGTGTTTTCATTCTTTCATAGCCTTTGAACAGGAAAAAAACACGTTTTAGTACGAGCCATTACATCTTTATTCAATATTCCGTCTTGTTCAGACAGCCAAGTTCCTAAAGCCAGTGATTTCTCTGTATGCTAATGGACCGATTTCCCTGTGGAAAAGTCTTTTTTAGCTGTTTTTCATGAGAGAAATCGGTGAAGATTTGGCCTTTAAAACATTGTGACCTTCTGTTTCCAAGAATTAAACCGAGATAATCGTTGATATCTTGAGTTATGTCTTGAATCTCATCCCTGGAAGCCTCGTGTTTCTAGGTCTCAAATGATACAGATATGAATCACCAAGGCTAAAGACTACAACACTCATTCTGGACAGGAAACCCGGATTCATGGTAGGATTCGTTGGAAACAAACAACCTGTTTTGAATTGAAACTCTGCCTGTAACTAAAGCTGCGAACAGGGGATATTTTCTCATATAATGATATGGTGATTTACTGCTTTCCATTGCCATCTTGAAGCGCAGAAAATCAAAGGTTGGCGTGAAGACAAAACAGGTTACTCATCACTCACAAACAATTCCACCCCAAGGTCCAACTACCAGATCTTTCCAAAGCCTTAAATCGGATTACATGGTATTGATTGACGGATGATGTATGCCTGGTAGTCATGGAGATGTAGACTGATGATATTGAATTCAGATAACACCAGATATATCTTTGGAAACCAAAGAAATGTAATTTGCTGATTAAATCTTGAAAAATGGTCAAGGAATGGGGGAATAAAAGAGACAATAAGTTGGGCCTGATTTTTAGGTCAAGAATGGTTGGTAGTTTTCAAAGACAAAACCCCCTATGATCGTAGAATCAAAACTGAAAACTGAATTTTGTCAAAGTAAAATATTCCTTAATTGGCTTTTTTTAATGAAGACAATCTTGATATCCATCTGAAATCGATGCCTATCATCTCTTACAACATATGTGCATGTCCCTTCTCATGTAATTAAGGATTCGTGGATTAAACTTGAAGGTAATCTATCGGTTTAGAGCCAATTGCTAAGTGGATTAAGGCCAACACCTTAAAGTCCATGAAAGTCTGCCTGAAAATGATGGATCACCCTCACTAGGAGTGGAGTGAGTTCCTACCCGAAGTCATCAAGGATCTTGCAAAATAGATTGAGAGTTTGACAATAAAGTCAGAGCTGCGGCAGTCATGCACCAGACTATTGTGGTGAAGAGCAAGCCGAGCCCAAAGGTGAAGCTTTCAATTTACCAATCGATCTTTGTACCAACCTCACCTATGGTCACGAGCTGTGGTGTAGAGACAGAAATAATGAGATCGTAAACTCAGGGAAATGAGTGTCCTCCAAAAGGTGGTTGGGATGTCTGAGATCTCAGACATCCCACAAGAGCTTGGAGTGGAGCCATTACTCTTTCATATCAGAAGGAGTCAGTTGAGGTTGTTCAGGTTTCTCCTTTTAAGAGCGTACTTGGCAGTCCAATTGGGAGGAGACCCCAGGGTAGACCCAGAGTGAGACAGAGGCGATTCATGTCACATCTGGTCTGGGAAGTGGAAAGTAGAGAGGAGAGGGATGTTTGGGGATGGCATGACTACAGTTTGCAGTGCGCCTGCTTTTGCTCTCTATACAGACTGTTTTTAGATTACAGATTACAAATTCTGCACCATTATGTAAAATCTATCAACATGAACTTTCAGGAAGGCGACTGTACATTTTTATCAACTTCACTTTCTATTCAGACGACAGTAATTTAACCACACAAGACACAAAGGCAAACTATACGCACTTTAGCCCACTCATATCCATCTACACATAATGTTCCTATCAGTGCACTTGTGTCTCAATGGGGCCATATGACACCCGGTGGCAAAAGAGCAGCCAAGCAGGTCTCAGACAGCTAGACACCTCTGCAGACCTTGCAGTAGGAAGCGAACTATTGGTCAAGGTGATTAACCTCTGCAATGGGCCAATCAGACGGCAGTTCAGGAGGGTAATGACTGCCAGGTGTGGAACAGCACGTGCTGGACCCGCTGCTGGAGGATGAAAGCAAACAAGCAGTCTAAGCTTTGGTGTGTCAGTCAAAAGATGCAAAGTGGCATATATATTTTAAAAGCGCTGCAACCACTTTCACGATAGCCTGCAGAAACATTTTGTGAACATTATAGCGATCGTTTTCACCATGTCAGAGTTTTATTGCTGCCGTACTCTTCAAAGAACCGCTTGAACTTTGTACAGAGTTACATACATTCAACCAGACACTTTGTTTTAGTGCTTTTCCCTAACTCCTCCAGGGGACCTCTTTCATAAAGTTCAATATCCTCTGTTTAATGTTACAGAGTGTGATGTGAAAAGGGAAGTGTCAGATTTAAGTGAGACTGCAAACAGGCGACGTTATTAACAGATGCAGGGCTCCGAGCCACTCCTAGTCTGCTGATCTAACACATCTCTGCGGCGTGTGGGGACAAAGGGACACATTTGATCACCACTTTGATTTAAAATTAAAGTCGAAGGCTGATTTATGTGTGCTTCAGGTTTGGTATTGTGAATTAAATACTCTCTTAAAACACTTATATTTTTGTAAAATCATTGTATGTAGGTGAATCCAGGCTGGAATATTTTGTTTCTATCTGCTCTGCTGCCTGACTTGGACAGGACTTTGGATTCTGATCTATAAAAGCAAATTATATTCTCAATGGTTCTCCCATGGTTAAATTAAGTTAAGAAAAAAAAACCCTGTAAATCAAGACTTTCAAAGCATTTATTGCCATTCGAGTACCTTTTCGATATATCCCAGTCTTCTGATTCTTGACCCGACTCTTCTAAAATTTATTTCCCATGTAGAAAATTTGCAGTGGTATTACTCTAGAGTGAGGTCTCACCATCTCATCATAACTGAAATTTAATCTCCAACAAACTCTTGGGATGTTAGTTAACCCAAATGGCAATCTCCAGTGTTGAAAATGAAGCCAATGTATAGGAGTTCCTCATATATATGCTTGGGGCTAGCTCCAAGAGCCAAGAAATCCCCATTAGGTCCCAATTCTGAATGCGTATTTCACAGCAGTTACAGACAATCCAGTGGGGGGTAAAAGCTGTTGTCTTTTTAGATTTTATCACGTTTTGTACAGATTTGTGTATTTTGGGACCTATTTGGAAGACTGACGCTAAAACTCAACCTCAATTCTACACCTTTGCTCAATAAAGGTAGGCTGAGTGAACATTTCCAACATGGAGACCGCTATAATTAAGCCCCACAACATCTCTTTAGAGACCAGTGGGTTGTGTCACAGAAACTACTTCCATGTGTTTCATAGTCAATGGGTTGACCCAAATAACAAATATGACACGTTTTCCACTTACCCCTTGTGGTATGTGGTCATATGAGGTTTTATTTGCCAAAGTTTTCATCTGTCTCCATTGGAGACATTTATAGCCCACCCATTACAATAGAAGTGTGGATTCCTGTGAATACTGAGTAATTGCCATTTGAAAATTAAACAGGATTGCGTCCAAGCAGCAACCCCCCCAAAAAAAAAAGAGACTGAGGCACTCAAGGATAAGCATGGGACCTCAGCGTGAGCAGTTTGAGTCGGGTGTGACTTTCTGCTGAAGTGAATCAGTGTTTCATCCTAATTGAATTGGAAGCAGTTCATTAGAAAACAAGCCTTTTCTTTGTCAAACACAAACTGAATTTCAAGTCCGCTCACATTTTGCGTAACCAAACACTCGGAGGCTTACGGGGATACCGCAACTGGCAAATGGATGAGCACTTTTGCTGCTTTGACTCTCCAAGTGTAATGAGGATCAAAGAGAAGCCAGCATTCCCAGTGGATACTAGAAGAATAAGATGGCTGGACACCAATCCCCCGCACCCCTAGAGATATTACCGAGTACAATGATCCCTCTCACAGCTCAATATTGTGTTTACTAATGAGCCTTGACCAATCACATTACCAAGTTTCTCTTGTGGGAACAATCAGATTAGCACGCATTACCAGTTAAATCCCCGATCTGGCTGATGGGCAGATGTCTGTTCCCTGATACATGTCATTAACATCAATTACTAGACGCCATCTTTCTGTTCATCTCTCTGTTACTTTTCCTGAGACTCTTTCCAACAGGCCTTCAGAAAAGCATGTCCCCCTCTTGAGGCTGTAACTTGAATCGTTTTGGGATTACCCCAACCAAAAAGGAGATTGCGTATGTCAGTCATGGAATTTTCGGCGTGGTAAATATGTGGCTCCCATGGTAAACACAGCAGCAGCCTTTTTTAAGCCTCCTGTCAGAGTGTCATCCTAAAAATCCCTCTTGATGATGTGCTTTGGATGATTCCCCAGCGCAGCAGACGTGGTAAGAGCTTTGGAGAGCCGAGAGCGAGTGTGCAGCACAGTCTGGTCTTCATCAGTGCAGTAGCAGACCTCTTCCTTGACACTGCATGCTTCATTCTCCAGAATTAGGAATTAGCTGATAGAAGTCATGATGCCCGTAAGTGAAGCAGGATGTGAGTTACTTTTAACTGGAAAGTATCTCCAAAGATATCTGTCGCCTTATAGGAAACAGCAGCGTGTGATTCAGAGAATGCAGAGAGTCTTTTTATGTCCGAAAAACATCGAAATACCTGTGGTCAGAACGGGGTTAAAACTGATCCAAAATACTTTTTTTAATTTCCCTTATTCACAAATTCACTTGAAGATGTCAGATGGTTGTTATTCGCAGCTGTTCCCAACCTTTTTGCAGCTTTATCAGATCAGGTCCGCAAACAAGCTTTTGGACCCTCACAGGAGAAAAGTGATGCATTCAGGTCAAAAATAAACATGGATTTTAAAGTCTTTATCAAAAAAGATGAGGGGAAAAAAAGTTATTTTTTACACAATTTTATCAGTCATTTGTTCAATTAGTCAACAGGAAAGCAATTTTAGTTATTATTTGCAAATCTTATAGTAGACAACCTCAGGGAAGATAAAGCCTGACACCTTTGGATGGGCACAGACCCCAGGTTAGGAACAAATGTTTTAGGTGTTGACTGTGTTTTACTGTGACATGCTAATGTGGAATTTTTATCCATGGCAGTGTGCAAGCAATGTCTTAAGTCAATGATGATGTCAACTTAGTTACACAATCTGTTTCTTATCAAAGACAGTGTTTTAAAACCGTTCAAAATATGATTTTAGTAAAAAAGTGTCCCAAAAAAAAGTGAAAATGTTGTCTTTGAAAGTTTTTGGCATCTATAGTGTTTACACCACTATCATGAGCTCAATGCTAACTTTTACAGCTACCACTATAAGTTCCTGAAAAGGAGTTTGGAGCTGGTTATGAAATAGACTGAAAATGGGACTTGTGCTTCTTCAAATGCCAACAAATAACACTTACGACAAATCTGAAAACTTCTATCAGGTCAATGTTTTAATGCTCGTAACAAGTTCCACAGAGCAGGTGTCAAAAAAAGCTGCAACAACCTTTATTTACGGGCTTGAACATATTTTTTTGAAGAAAACAAACAAGTTTTTTTTTTAAAATCTGAAAATACATCTTTCACATGTGTGTAAAAATGCAATTAATTATAAGAGGTCCTGCTTTGTCCAGAGGGGGCGCCAAAATCAACTCACAGGAGCTTTAACCAAAACAATCATCATGCTAACTTTATAGTTGAAACTGCAAAGTCAGTTTCTCCTTTTTTAAAGTATTTTTAACAGTTGGCAAATAAATTGCTGTATACCGCCACCCTCAGGTCCACATGCTCATTACAGCACTCAACAGTTTCTCTGTTTGTACTTGAAAGTTCGACATTTCTTCCATTATAACAACCTGGAAGCGTCTTTTTGTCCATTGACCACACATGTAAAAGTTCAGTATCAACCCACTTTCAACCTTAAATGAGTTTTTCATCAAAATCATTAAAAAGATTTTCTGTTTTGTGACAATTCGGCGTCATTAATGCATTTTAGCTGACTGAGTAAAGAGTCAAACAGATCTTGGACATTGCAGCTAATCTCTTTTTCAAATAGAAAACACATGCGAGAACTCGTGATATGCTCAGAGGATCTTATCCAAACTTGCCATGTCCACTGGTCGTTGGGAGCCTCTTGATTAGACACATGACTGGCCTGTACGTTACAGGATTACGCGTATTGGTTTAGTGGCATTGTTAATTCCCCACTGTGACCTGTACTTCATTTACACAGCTGTCCAAATACAGAAGTCTTTCACGTTACATGACTTTGTTTCCTGAGGACTACACGTCTCTTTTTTTTGAGGTGTTCAACCTGATGCCTCACAGCTTCAAGCTCTGCAAAGCTGGATGTGCATGAAACCTCCCGATAAGCTAAAAGTAAAGCTTTTGAATTTGTTACTTTCTCATCGGAAAACTCAAACTGGGTGCAAGGTTCACTACACGCCCATGGTCCCCTGTTGTAAGGAAATGTGTTCAGGAAATTGCTTCCACTGAGAGACTTGTACTTAACTAAAGAAACCTGATTGGCTTGGTGCTGCAGCCCTGACATTGAAATATGCAGTCTCTTCTGTTTGGAGGGAGAAAACACGATTTAAGAAAGACAAGATGAGATGCATCAGATCAGAGGGAAGGCGTGTTTTGTTCAGAGCTGTCAAACGGATAAAGGAACTGCCAGATCTGCATGCAGCGATTCCTGATCAACAAATAAGTTCACCGCAGGACTCACCCAGGAGAGGATCTGCTTCCAAGTCACTTATTAGTTTTTCAATTGTAGGCTATGTTAAGTGTGGGAAGAAATTCAGCTTGGGAGTGACAGTTTATCAGTCCTGTAGACATGCTCAATTGATTATGTTTGAACTGCATTGTGAATAGCATGGATGTCCTACTTTTCTAGAGTTATAAAGAGGCCAATTTCCCTCCATTCAGTGATTTCATGGGACCTTATTGTAGAAAAATATACATTATACATCAAATATGCAACATGAGGTCTTGTAAAGGTTAACACAGAAAGCAGAACGTTGCAAAAAAGTTTTATTCTTGTGTGAAAATATAAAGATGCTCCCTCTTCTTCTTTGTTGGATCTCCAGACTGTTGTAGATTTACAAACCTGCAGCCCCCCTGATGGACTCTGCGGATGGAAATTGCTGTAAATTGGACCGAGCATAAAGCACACATGGAATAATGGAAAAAAGCAGTGGCGTGCATGGTTTTATTAAAGGAATGTAATATCAGGAAAAGAGAAAAAAAACTGCAGGAAGTCTGAGTTAAACTGAAGAGGACATCGAGAAATATTACAGACTTTAATACCGAAGACGTCAGATTTGCTCTTCCTGCCCGGCTATGACTGGATGATCGTTTAAACAGCTTGCATAACTGTATACACTCTGACTGCATTTAATGATTTACCCCGTTGTTGTTGTATAAACTATATATCTGTGCCTCTGCAGATGGAAATATCATTCACTCACAGTCCATACTCTCCATGTTTCCTCTTAATTCTCTTGCCTACCCTCTATAATTCCTTCATATTCCTGTTTTTCTTTCTCTAATATTTGTTAAACCCTGCTGATGTTATTCCAGGTGTTCTTCATGTACTCGGTCACAACAAAAATAGAGATCTCTCCCGAGACTTTTCGTGCGGCATGTTATGTCTTCTTGCCGTCTTTATTGCTTGCATCGGTCACTCCACCACACTCCTCTGCCTGTTTCCTCCTCCTGAAGTGTTTCCATGTCCTGACTCCCCCTCCCTCTCTCTGATGTCTTTCAGGCTGTTTCTGAAAAGCCACAGTGGGACTGCCGGCAGACAGAGCAGTCTGGTTATCCACGGGGCAGATTTCAGCACCAAGGACATGGACAATGACAACTGCTTGTGCAAATGCGCTCTCATGCTGACCGGTGGTAAGCACAGCCTTCATGTCTACAAAACCCAATTCCATTGAAGTTGGGAAATTGTGATGAACGTTAATAAAAACAGAATTCAATGATTTGCAAATCCTTTTCAACCTAGACGCAATTAAATACTCTACAAAGACAAGATATTTAATGTTTAAACTGATTAACTTTATTTTTTTTGCAAATAATCATAAACTTTAGAATTTGATGGCAGCAACACGTGACAAAGTAGTTGGGAAAGTAGCAAAAAATACTGAGAAATTTGAGGAATGCTCATCAAACACCTATTTGGAACATCCCACAGGTGAGCAGGCTAATAGGGAACAGGTGGGTGCCATGATTGGGTAGAAAAGCAGCTTCCCCAAAAAATTCTCAGTCATTCACGAGCAAGGATGGGGCGAGGTTCACCACTTTGTGAACAACTGCGCGAGCAAATAGTCGAACAGTTTAAGAACAACGCCTCTCTAAGTACAATTGCAAGGAGTTTAGGGATTTCAACATCTACGGTCCATAATATCATCAAAAGGTTCAGAGAATCTGGAGAAATCACTGCATGGAAGCAGCACGGCTGGAAACTAACATTAAACACCCGTGACCTTCGATCCCTCAGGCGGCACTGTATCAAAAACAGAGATCAATGTGTAAAGGATATCACCACATGGGCTCAGGAACACTTCAGAAAACCACTGTCAGTAAATAAAGTTCGTAGCTACATCTGTAAGTTCAAGTTAAAACTCTAGTATGCAAAGCAGAAGACATTTATCAACAACATCCACAAATGCCGCCGGCTTCTCTTGGCCCGAGCTCATCTAAGATGGACTGATGCAAAGTGGAAAATTGTTGTTGTTTGGAAATAGTGGACTTCATGTCCTCCGGCCCTAAGAGGAAAAGAACCACTTGGACTGTTATTGACGCAAAGTTCAAAAGCCAGCATCTTTGATAGTATGGGGGCGCATTAGTGCCCAGACATGGGTAACTTACACATCTGTGAAGGCAACATTAATGCTGAGAGGTACATACAGGTTTGGGAGCAACATATGCTGCCATCCAAGCAACGTCTTTTTCATGGACGCCCTTCCTGTTTATTTCATCAAGACAATGCCAAGCCACATTCTGCACATGTTACAACGGCGTGGCTTCGTAGTAAAAGAGTGCAGGTACACGACTGGCCTAACTGCAGTCCAGACCTGTCTCCCATTGAAAATGTGTGGCGCGTTATGAAGCGTGAAATACGACAACGGAGACTACGGACTGTTGAAAAACTGAAGCTGTACATCAAGCAAGAATGGGAAAGAATTCCACCTTCAAAGCTTCAACAATCAGTCTCCTCAGTTCCCAAACGTTTATTGAGTTTATTGTTAAAAGGAAAGGTGATGGAACACAGTGGTAAATTATTATTTGCAAACAAAAGAGAAGTTTATCAGTTTGAACAATAATATCTTGTCTTTGTAGTGTATTCAATTGAATATAGGTTGAAAAGAATTTGCAAATCATTGTATTCTGTTTTTATTTACATTTATCACAATTTCCCAACTTCACTTGAATTGAGTTTTGTACATGGCAACACTAAAACAACAAAAAAAAAAGTGATTTTATGAAAGCATGTTCACATGATGTAACCGCCCTTGCGTTAATTTCCTCTGATTGGCTTTAAGGTCATTGCCCAGTCATCAGTTCAGGTCATTACGATCACAACAGGAGGCTAACGCGGCCACTTAAACATCTATCTGCACCTATTAGGCCCCGGTCTGAATCCCCTCCCAGTTGCACTGTACTTGGGATCGAGCACATAGTGAAAATCCCTGGGCGCAGCACCAAGTGTCAGGGAGATTTAAAAGGACTCTGCCTCTCCTGCTGTGTAAGTGGAGCCGCTGACCCTCCATGTCACCTCATGGCAGCTCGATTGCTAACCTGGCACTAATCAAGCATTTCTAAGTGGGGTTTAAAATCAGAATTACCTCTTACGTCATTGTAGATGCATTTGGTTTGAAAGGAACTGGCATCTAATCATCGGTCAACACCCCCCGACTCTACTTGATTCATGTCCTGCCTATGGCCAGTCACAAAGAGAAGGCATGACAACATGCAGCCTGAGTCAAGCTGGTCCGAACCCAGCTCTGTGATAATATATACACTATATTATTTGATTTATTCCCCAAATTTACAAGGAATCAAATGATGTAAGTGTCTGGAATATACAAAATCGAAATACTTCTCTGCTACATTTATGAGGAGAACTTCATCATGTTGTGTTAATGATAAAAAGAAGGACCCACGCATATCCTCTAATATATATATTTACCCAGCAACGGAACATACATACAGTAGGGATCAGACACTGACAGCAGGAGGAAGGGGGGATCCCTCTATCATGAGAACGAGCCGAGGCCGCTCAGTAAGGAAGACATTCCTGCTGTTTTTACAATTCAAGGCCTGGAAATAGAGAACATACTGACCGTAAATCCAGAAAGATAGCTACTTTATGTGCTGCATGTTTCTGTGTATCAGCGGTTGTGTGGTCTGCAGTGCATCAAGTGAAGAATACCAAGTTGGACACACGCTGTAATAAAATAAAGCAGCAGGTTGCAAAACGCACACTTTAAGTCAGACATTAGCATGCATACTTCATAACAGCACCAAATGAGCCGTCATTTATTTCTCATTTATAGCAGCATACATGTCGATTTGGCCACTAGAGGTCAGTGAAAACAAATCTGCGAGTTCACATGGGAAACTCATTGCTTAAGCAGACGAATCCTAGTGCAATAATCACCTTTTGTTTATGTTCTGTTTCGGTCTGCACCAGCTCCTCAGGGGAACATTCGGTTATTTCGCTGCGAAACTCAACAACATGTGGACAAGCTACTGGCTAAACTTGTGTGTAGTATATAGTTTGTAATAGAGAGAAAGAACTGTTTCAGAGGCTGATTTAAGATAAGTTACAAATTGATGAAAGCAAACAACAACAGTGTTTTATTTTTATTATGATTCTTTAAACGAGAAAAAAAAGTTCAAGCAGTTTCGTGTTTAAAAAAGAAAGAAAAACAAAATCAGGGTTTCATGGAAACTCAAGGTTAGACACGGGGGCTGTGAGCTGAGCTGCCATTAATGTTGCCTCATGGTTTTGAGAGCCCAGCTTCTTTAGGAGATCACACTGGCAGTAGTCATATCTACCCTGCATGGCTACTAAAAGTAAGAAGCTAAATATAAAAGTTAAATGTGTTTTTAATGTTTTGGTATTTGCCCAGTATCTGAGTATCAACATCAGGATCTGTATTCTGGTAGAAAATGCACCATCAGATAGTGTCGTTGTATTTTTCCCTAACTTGCAAAAATCAGGCACATGTGGTGACTGGAAAAGTGTGAAAGCAGAAGGAGTGAGCCAAAAAAAAGTAATTTTCTGGGCTCTCAAACCAAAACAAAAAGCTTAAGGCTGTTAAAATGTTCCAACAGAGCTTTGGGAAACCAAACACTTGATTTGGAGTCTCTCCTTTTGAAAGATCACCCAAGCTCATAGACCTTTAAAATCAAAAAATGTAAAATGTTACTAAAGAGAAATTGCAAACTTGATATCCACTGGCACAGGCGATGATTATTCTACACAGTTGTGGAAACATCAAGATTAGTTTCCAAACTCTGTATGAACTCGATGAAGGTGCAGTTGGTATGAATTTCATATGCGCCATCCATGCCAACAACAAGGGCAGAGCGTTGCTCCTGATTATTGAGCCATCCTCTGAAATGTCATACAGGCTGCCATTTGTCGCTGAGAAATTGACACATGCCATGCCTCGCATATGTTCTGCATCTGAGTGTATCAGTGAGGACACGCTCGCTGGTTCAGATAGGAGAGTCGACACGTAGATAAGACGGAGCAGATCGAATCGAAAGAACGCCGACTGTATCAGCGTAGTTTTCAGTCTGTGAAGACACCTGAGGGAGGCAGGCGTGTGAGAAGACAGTTGGTGCTTCTTCAAGATAAAATGAGGACAGAGGTTCATCTGTGGTTTACAAGGCCTCAGTGTTGGATGTGAAAATGACAAGAGAGGCAGGTGGATGATAATGACACTAGCGTGACACGTGGAAACACTCAGCGCCAAAAAAAAGGCCCACAGTATGAAGTGACTGAAGCTTTTATATCCTTGATAACGAGCCATGGAATTTTAAAATCACTTTTAGATGATGTGTCCCTCTGGTTATTAAATACCGTTGTCCCAAGTCCAAGCAGATCTACCTTTTCCCCAGATACCACATATAACTAAAGGGAATTATGCAATGTGTCACCTTTGGAGGAGAGTAAATTTTCCCATGCCGTGCACTGGAGCTCACCCCATGCTGCGTGCACTCTCAGCTTTAAATAGAAAGAGGTATCGAAAGTGTTCAGCAGCAGGTACTGGCATGTGAATGAACCCTGTGACAGTGACACATTGAGGAGATAGCAGCGAAATGGTGTCTGAACCAGAGCCGTGGCCCCGCTGGAGAAGCCATGGGAAACTTTCCGCCTCGATCAAGGACAAAACGTGTGATTCAGCTTTTCAGCGCTCATCAGGCCTCATTTCCTCTCCTCAAACAGGATGAGAAACTAACAGCAAGTTTGGTTTCATTTGAGAATCACTTGAGAATCTTGATATTTTTCTGTCCTAGGTTGGTGGTTTGACGCCTGTGGCCCGTCCAACCTCAACGGCATGTACTTCACTCAAGGACAACACGTAGGGAAGTTGAACGGTATCAAGTGGCACTACTTCAAGGGTCCTAGCTACTCGCTACGAGCCACCGTCATGATGATCCGCCCCTTGGACTTCTCCTAGTCCTCTGAACTTGTGAACTCCTTCGCAACTAAACCGCTATGTGTGTAGCACATTAGAGGGACGCTTCCCGTTTTATCCTCGTGTCTCATCTCAATCCGCCGGCCATGGGAGTCGACCTATAAATCATTTTGTTCAACGTGCTTCTTCCCCAGAGCAACTGTACTTCTGCTGCTGCTGCTTCATTACGACCTTTCCCCTGGATGGACTGAAAAACACTCACGCAGAGGGAGGGGACTGAGCAAAGACTAATTCACACGAACTGATTTCTGTTCCTGAGCAGATTCACAAACTTGAACCTCTTTGAATGAATGGATTCAGATGTATTTTCTCACACCTGGATTTCTAAGCTTGCTTCATGCCAGCTTGTCACCCCAATTTCCATTGATCGGGGGAACAGCGTTGTGGAAAACACGGAGGCCTTGAGCTCTCAGAGGGCAGCACTGACTCCTAAACTGCAGGACAGAACAGCCTTTTTTTTGTACTGAAATGTTGCTCCCAGAACGCAGCCGATAAATATTCTGAACATGTTAAAAGTTGTGTTTCTATTATAATTTTTGTTATGTTAACTGTGTATCCAAAGTAAGATGAAACTGTCTTTTGTATTGTACAGCGTGTACTGAATTTGTCTGCCTTGTTTCAAACACACACCCAGTTCAGAAGTGACCTTGTAACTGAAGTGATTTGTAATAGTTTAAGGGTCACTCACAGTATTTGCTGGCAATTACACACTAGCTGTCTTGACAGTGTGATTATTTTAAGAGTTCAAAATGTGAGGTTGTTATTGGATTAGATTCTGGACTGAAGTCTTTTGTTTTGTTTTTTTGCCTTTTGTATTGGCTGACAAACAGCTGCTACCTGCCAATGTTTATACTTTAAGTGATCACCTTACATCTGCTGAATATGAAAAACAAAGATATTAATACAGGCACAATCAGTGTTAGCAGACACTCTCAGTGATTTTCATAGAGAAGCATGCAAAACCACGACCATTACTACCTTTCTTGTACATCATTGTGCTGACACAAAAGCAAAAGAGTGGGAATAACACTGCAAGCTTTTGCCACCTAACCGGCAATTTCCACCACATCTGGAACGGCTACGAAAAGGCAGAATCCGCTTATCGTAACCATTCAAGTTGATGTGTCAATTTCCACCGGCTTCTTTCCTTTCCGCAGCTGATCACAAGAGTTCTATTTTTTCTGGACGCTGGAGCATGCCGGATAAATTCAGCACAGATTAGTCCGTGCTGGAAAGGAAGTCGGGCACAGACACAAAATAAAACATCCAGCTTCTTTTCAAAATAAAACCCTCTGGGTTTCAGATGGATCGTATTTCACACCATGCAAACAGGCGGGGACGAACAAGTGAAAGGTTTATAGACAGCATTTCACCCCAATGACACCATGGATGAGAGGATGCTGATTTTATAAGTCCAGAAGTAGATTTCGTGGAAGGACACAATCTACTGCTTAAATCGTTAGCCTATGTGGCTAAAGAAAACTTATCGCGCGATTGCACGTGAATCTGCGGGTTCTTGTGAGTTCGCGCGATTTCTGTTGTCTGTAATCTGCCACGAAATTCACCTCATAAGCGGACCCGGCAGGAATTGGCGTACGGCGAAAATCGCTGCTGTTTCAGATCGGAGCCGTTCCAGGTGTGGTGGAAATCCCGGGTAAGCAACATCACTTCAACAGCTGCCTGCTTTTGTTCAGGGTAAATTCTGGGTTATGTTCAGGTTCTCCTGGAGCACTCGCCGCATTTGTTTTGGTGTTTTTCTGCCTCTGCATCTTTCAGCGCCACATTATCATAGCGACACAGACCTATCAGATCACAGCAGGAGGTTTGAAACTGAGAGGCTAAAGAGACTAAATTTAAAATCTTGTACAGGAAGTAGGGATGGGCAATATGGGCTAAAAATTTAAAGTTTTGCCGTTCTTGCAATCATGATAAAAGTCCCGATAAAAGATATTGTCATTCAAATCCATGTTTTTGTCTTATTCTGTCTTGAGAACATCAGTTAGCATAGTCAAACAAGATACTTAGCCACAAGTTTAAGTGGAAGGTGAACAGCAGCAGATCTACTGTCTGATGTCAGGCGTACCTGATTGCACTCGTCTAAGCCCCAGTCTTGAAGGAAACTCCTCATGTAGAGCCTCTATTAGCAACAAGCTGCTCAGAGACGTCCTCTTCACCACCTTCGGCCATGTTTGTTTGTTATTCTGCTCTTTGTAGGCTACGGCTGCTCACAGTTATGTCATTAACTTGCATTTATCGCAATTATCATGAGATGGCAAATTCTTATTGAAGAGGATTTTTCTGACGATTAATGGTGGATGATAATTTATCACCCGTCCCTAGCAGGAAGCGTCATAAATGGCTGATAGTACCATTATTTGTGACCTCTAATGAATCTTCTTCTACCTGTGATGGACTTCTTGAACCCCCTTTGTCTCCACTTCATCACATCCTGGCCTCTCCTCTTCACACGAAAAGCAGACCATTAACACAAACTATTTTCCACAGACATCAACATGACACAGCTTTAATATCCAGCCAGTCTCTGTTTCCCATCAAAGCAGCTTTGAGAAGAAAAAAAAAAAAAAACAGGGGGCTGGGATTTGATACGAAGCATGAAATTAATGATTCCACCAAGTGATCCGTGCGAACACATATTTCATAACCTCCAGCTTACAACAACAGACTTTACAGTGGAGTATTTACAAAAGGTACATGTGGTGGGAAGATAAAGTATATCTGGATCTTGTAAAACTACAATTGACATGTTTATTAGCATAGTAAAAAAAATGTATAATTTAAAGCGTGTGTATGTAGAGCAGCTTTCCCGAGGAGAGCTTCACATTTTCCCTGCTCTGCCAGGAGTACAATGGTGTTTGAAGGTGTGCATAAAACATGCAAGTTAAGAGATTAACCCTGGAGTAATGTGCCTTTGATAACTGTGCTTTACCTCATTAAATTCCAGATTTGCAGATTTATTTAAACATCCTTTTGTAACGTGATCAATGTTGTGTTGCTTGATTTAATAAAGAAGCATGTGATGCACTAATGTTTTCAATCTGCATCCAGGCTGCACCTTTTTCTGCCAAACTGATGCAAAGGAAGATGCAGGTTTTCCCAAAGTTTGGCCCCAATGATGTTTTTCTCTAATCTGACATGCCGTAACTACAAAAAGCTTGCTTCGGCGATATTATCTTCGATATTATATTGACTGTGTGTCGTATAGAGGACCTGTGCAGAAAGACATGAGATAAATCTCGCAGATAAAGTTGTCTCGTGCCTTTTGAGCATCAAACCAGATGGTGCAAACATAAAAACCTCCCTCTCTGCTCAGGCGGTGTGTTAGCTATTGTCTCCAGCGGGGACTCGCTTGCTCACTTGCTTGTGGCAATGACAGATTGCCAAAGTGTCAAACGATGCTGTCGGGACCCGTAGTGTCTCTCCATAGTTGACATTCCTGGGCCTAATCAGAGGTTAAACAAATTACTGCAGCCTGCAAACCGCTGCGCGTCCTTCAGCGCCCGCACTGACCCCACACCCCGCGTGGAATGTGTTCTTTAGAGAGTCTGCAGTGTGAAGAGAGTCTGCACAAGCTGGCAAACACCTATGTGGGTCTTAAGAGCTGTCCTTTGTTGGTGTGAGGACAGGATATGCCGGGAACCACTTCTAAACTTGGGGAGAAGTTTTGTCTCCAGTGGAAATTCAGGATGTCCAGCAAAGTGGCGTTTCACTTGTCTTCTCGGCAAGTCACGTACACGCACATGCCAGGGCGCTCTGCTGAAAATGGATCCTTTCCTGTTAGCTGAGGAGGAGCTGAGGGAAGGCAAGACGATGAGACCCGCTGAGGGAGGCGGAGGTCTAAGTTGCACGCAGACGGACAGTATTGGACCCAAACCAGATCAGATATTAGACTACAGAGACCGCAGTATGAACACTCAGGGCCATTGAAACCTCTGAAGAGGCCACCTGCTCCGAACGAACACAAACAACGAGAGAGGAAGTAAAAGTAAATATAGAACAGCTTTCCCTTCACTGATGTGAACAGTTACACCTTTTTGACTTTAATCCAGTATCACTAGAGCTCAGCTTTTTAGACTCAAGGTCAAAGAAAATCAAACAAGGGCTCCAAACTAAAAAAAAAGGTTTTAAGAGAAAGTAAAAACGGGGCGAAAACCTAAATCCTGTTTTCAAGTATTTCTTAAACCTCTATTTTGAGGTTATTTTGCAATATTGCTTGGGAAAAGTGGAAACTATAGATCCAAAAATCTGCCCCAAAGTGGAAAACTGTTGAAAATACAATCAGTCAAGAAAACTTTTTGTTGTAGTTTCTAAAATAAAGCAGGAACCAATCGGCATATACAAACCTTTATGAACTGACACATCCGTCTACGATCAAATGTGGGTTTTCCTGCCAATTTTGTGAACCCAGATCAGTTTTAAGAGAAAGAAACTTGCCATATAATTCAACGCAGCGAAAACCTAAATCCTGTTTATCAGTATTTTTTAAACCTCTATTTTGAAGTTGTTTTGAAATATTGCTTGGGAAAAGTTGAATCTATGGATCCACAAACCACTTCAGTGTCATGAAAACAGTTACCATCACTATAAAGTGGACAACCGTTGAAAATACAATCAGTCAAGAAAACTTTTTGTTGCATTTTTTAAAATATAGCTGGAAACAATTGGCGTTTATGAACTTTTATGAACTTACACACGCGGTTTTCCTGCTAATTTTATGCATCTGGATCAATTTGTAACAATGGCATTTAGGTGTAGATCTACACATAAAAATGAGAGTCACTGAGTTTTGGCTTTCAGTGACATTTCAATAAAACAAGCTAGTTGAAATTAATTTTCTTGTTTTTAAAAAGTGATGCACATACCGGGGAAACTACCAAAAATTGGTACTTGAGAAATCAGCAGTGGTTCAAAATTGACCACCAATGAAGAAGACATTTTTAAAGAAAATTGCACTAAAAGGGCAC